TCAAAGCCACAAAAAGCCCAAGTGACCTGAATATATGGAGTTGGCTCTATGAATCTATATATAGTTATATCAAGAGATTGTAGATATTTTTTTATTTATTCTTGTGAGGCTTTCATACGGTTCACTCTACCTTTTCTCACACTACTAATTCTCGTCTCCTTCGACCACAATATTCATACATTGATATTGAACAAATCTATACCATCTTAGAAGATTTTCTCTCATTTTTCTTGTTACGTTAATACTTGATTCTTCACAGATAAAAATATTTCTTATTCTCTCTCTAAGAGAAATTTAGCACATCCACTTTGACATTGTCATATCAGTTGTGCAAGGGTTTTATATGGCCAACATATTGATCCATAAACCATGGTTGCTTTTACAACTATCTTATAAGAAAAAAAAGTCTTCTATTCCAAGGGGCACATGATAACTGTAGAAACTCATGATTCTCCTCTTCCCCTTACCCACCCCTTTATACAAACCCAAATCCTGTTATTGCGTACAACTTCTTTTTTGAAATTCTGATTACTTTGAAGTCTGAAATGAAAGACTCTTTGTTGAAAGGATCAATGGTTGGTGGTAGTAAATTGTGAGATAATTCACAAGGCAGTCAGAAAAAAATGATGTAGATCAGTTTGATTAATCCTTATTTTATATCCATGTCACAATAATATGTATATGATGGTGGATTGTGTTAACTCTGACACTGTAAAAATCATATGAATCTAGTGTCTGAATATTTAAGCTGAATTTCTGATGAAATACTAAACTATTAAATCTTGAAGTTTCACTGTAAAAATAATAACCATGGTCAATAAAAAAAATCCTTGATGTAGTAACTGGTCTTAGTAATATTTCTTATTTGGTGCTGGAATGATTTTGCATCAGTAATAGAGTGAATTTTTAAATTTCCTCATTACCATCCATTCCAAGAGCTATTCTTTCTAGGTTTTAGTTTTATAGCATGACATGACCGTATGAACAGTTGGGTTTTCGTTAGCAGGTTGCTTGATGTAGGGGCCTCTGAGAGAAGTGTATATCTAATTTTTGAGTATCTGGACTTGGACTTGAAGAAGCACATGGATTCTTGTCAAACATTTTCAGAAGACCATCGTTTAATGAAGGTGAGGTATCACTCCCTTAGTACTTATTTTCATAACTCTAATGCTTATACCTATAGAACTGTATGTTGATCTTCTCTTCATGTTGTCTCTTGTTGTACTTTGTAAAATTTTCTGATTAATTAATACAATTAATTTATATAACTCGTGTTTTTATATTATAGAATCATTTATGGTTCACTTGTCTTTAGCATTGGAAATGAGTTGTTCATAAAGAGCTTCTTTAGCTTACCACATTTTCTGCCACTAAATACTGCACATGTGAGGGTGCACCATCTTTCTTTTCATCAATTAAGTATTCTGAAACATTCAATTAAAGCTATCTTCTCTTGTTCTGGTCACAGGTCTTCTAAGAACCTACTTTATTGTAAAAATACTAATCATGTTTTTCTCTTGTTATAAGTTTATCTCTTAAAATGTTTTCTCATATAGGTGTTTGTAAAGACTAAAGACATTCCTCACATCTGAATTTGAGTTGGTATCATTTTCCTTGTGTGTTCAAGGGAGTGTTCTTGATTTTTCATTGGCTAATTTCAATCCCTCAAGATTGACATTAATTTACTCTATATTCAAGTTAGTGCTTTCGGTTTTACTTTTTGAGTAATTTTCACCTTTGAGATTGATTCAACGATCTACTTGTTATTTTTTCTGTTTATGTTTCTTCCTGGGTTACAAGTATTATAGCATTCTATTCTCTACCAAATTGTCTTGGCTCAGGGATGAGTTACTAATCATTTTAACACATCAAGCAACTAGTTAGTTATTAATGTTTGTTCTAACCATAGTAACATAGGCTTTCTTATTTTTGGTACGTAGACACATGGGAAAAGAATTAAGATCATTTTGGCCAATGTACTCAGTTGGCAGCTAAAAACAACGCTCACCTCTCATACGTTTGTTAGTTTATTAGGCATCCTTTAGTTCCTGATTGAATATGTATGGTGTATGTTGAAGTAGTATTATACAGTTTTAGAATCTTAGTGGCTGATAAGTACCACTTTCCTTTTTTGCAGAAATTTCTATACCAAATTTTAAGTGGTATTGAGTACTGCCATTCTCATAGGGTTCTTCACCGTGATCTAAAACCTCGGAATTTGCTGATTGACCTGCAAACTAATACCATAAAAATTGCCGATTTCGGATTGGGTAGGGCATTTGATATTCCTGTCCAGACATTGACCGATGAGGTAGTTGATTTATTTGATGATGTTTCTTTCTTGCAAATTTTGATTGTTTTGGTTGCTCAGATGAGAATGACAAACTATTATGTTGCACAACTATCATAAACGATTCAAAGTACATAAAGGTTCAAACATGAGATATATTTGATTGTTGATTGCAAGAAACGTTGATGATATATATTTGTGCTTCTAGTAAAGCACCTTTAAGATAATTATTCTGCATCTCTATGCTTCTCTAAGCACTTTATTCCTGAAAAATGATCCTAACTATTTCATTCTATACTTCATTTTATTTATGCATCGGAATCTCTGTTCACTTATTCTTTTTTCAGGTTGTGACCCTGGCGTATAGAGCACCGGAAATTCTTCTTGGGTCTCGCCACTATTCTACTCCAGTCGACTTGTGGTCGATAGGTTGTATTTTTGTAGAAATGGTGAATCGATGCCCACTGTTCTGTGGAGATTCAGAGATTTCTCAGTTGTTCAATATTTTCAGGTTTACATATTTTTGTCACTAAGATTTCAAGTTCTGGTTTTGCTCCATGCAATTGATATATACCTAAAAGTGTCATATGATTTCCTTTAACGTGTATGTATGAAGAGTTTTAGGTACTCCTAATGAAGAAACTTGGTCAGGGGTTACATCATTACCTCACTTCAAGTGTTCTTTTCCCAAATGGGATCCTATGGTAAGGAAACAATGAACTTGCTTTAAACCTTTTGTTTAATTAGTTGATGCTTCATGCATCAGAAAATATACTGAAGACTTGCACAAAAATTTCATTATGCATGACTCTGGAAATTCGGTGCTTATCTATGTGGTGCCACTAAGAATATACCGAAGAATTACTGGGATGACAATGTTAAGAACCTAATGCAACATTTCCTCTGCAGGATCTGGCAGCACTGGTGCCAAATCTTGAACCAGCAGGCGTCGACCTTCTCTCAGTGAGTATTCCTAACCTTTCATAGTTTGCCATATTTCCAGACAAAGTTACCAGCTTACGTTTCAATAGTCCAAAAATGAAAAAAGAAAAGAATTTTATATGCTAGTTCATCAATTGGTATAAGCTATAACGGCGCGCTGCAGCCTTTGCGCTATCCTAAATTTGACTCTCTGCTGTTGCACATCTTTAGTCTCATACTAACATTGCCATCAATCCTTTACTTCCTCAATGCATAACGTACAGGTGGATTGATTCATTTCACTAACCGGCAAAGAACTTTGTCTATTTTATGATACTAAATAAACTTATTAGTACTTCTATGCCTTCACCAATTTTGAGAAGATGATATTTGTTCTTTTTTCGATACCTGCTGTTATGTATACTAGCAGTATTATATTTGCCTGTTCCACTGCATGTCTTGAGGAGTTTTGTGTCCTGTCAGCTTTACTCCATTGCTAATATGCAAATTATTACACAGAAAATGCTCTGTTTGGAACCAGGAAGGAGAATCACAGCTCGCAAAGCTCTTGAACATGAGTACTTCAAGGATCTTGAGATGGTACCATAACCTGAATTTTCTCACTCAATTTTATATGATCTTTAGAAATCCATATTACTAGGTACAATTCTTTGTAAAGAAAGTGTTCATTTGGTGTATTCTTCCCACATGTTTGCCTTGAAAGCACAACTAAACTTGATTGCTTGGGAACACCTACTCGAAGTCTCCTTTTCAGTTCTTCCTGACTCGGACTGTTCAATACGCTATCCCCCATTTGACATACTATTTTTAAAATTTTAAATATTTTATATGGCACTCAAAAGCAAATACATCACAGCATGCTTTATCTAACTATAACCAGAAAGCAATATATTTATTCCCTCATCTTTAAGTAGTAACTCAACTTGCTCAAGTAATCTCTTGTTCCATTCCTTCGTCCTGGTAGCTTTATACTGCTAATGCACTTTATATTTTGATTTCACTGGAAAAGCAAAAGTTACTGTGCATTATTTTGATATATGGGGGACAAACAAGAGAGAGAGATTATTGCTTGTATGGATGGTCCCAAATATGTTGGAGGGAGGCTACCGTCGTTAAGTTTCTGATGCTTCCGGGGACAACCTCTGAAACGTGCTTCTTATGATTCATAGCATCAAAATAAATGAGAACCCCACTTTCTGCAAAGAGTCCGAGACATGCTTTGTTGATGTCTTCTTGAATGTGCTACCATGGCTGCCCTCCCTAGCAGAGCTCTGCTATTTCTTTCTCCTCAGAAATGTGTCCTAAAAGTATTATACCATATTATCATGTCTATTGGAATTATTAAATGAGGTTCTAATCCTTGCACATCAAACCATCAAACTATTCCAACAACATGCCACCCTTAAAAACGCATCATTCCTGTCTTCGCTATCAGGGCAACACCATCAAACCATTGGACCCTACTCATCATTCCCGTGATAGGCCCGCTACGTCCTACCGCCGTTACACTACTCCGCCGCACAGCATAACCAAGAACAGAATAACTTCATCCTTCGGACTCCGACCGTACACGTAATCCGACTCGTTTGCACACATAGTCGTAGATCTGTCCTTACGTGATGTCGCCATCGTCGAGGGCACTTGTGTCTTTTACTTCCACGAGTTCGCAAGCGAGCACTCACGTGAGTAACACGTGTTGTAATGCCGTGTGATGTATGCACAGAGACCCCTTGGGAGCGCGACCCACGCATCCCTTGCTTGCTTGCTTGATGACAGCGAAAGCGCGAAGCAGAGCTACGGGACGGACCCCACGTCTGAAGGAAATGGACCTTTTCTCCTCGATTGCGTGGCGAATGTAACGGAATAGAATGGAATGAGATGGAACGATAAATGTAAGGCTGTGGAGAGGAGAAAGACATCTCAGAGTGCGAGAACGAGCAGTGTCAGTGGTGAAGAAAAGAAGAAGGGAAGAAGATTACGATGCTATTATGCTCTTCGTCTCCGATCTTCCTCGCTCGAGCCTCCTCGCACCCTCGAAAGGCACGATCTTTTCTTGTTCCTGTTCCCCCTTTGATTGCTCAACCGTTTCGATTTTGATCTTTTCTTGGAGGGGAGTGGGGAAGGGAGCAAGAATTGCATGTGGGTTTTTGTTGCTTCTTGAGATGTTTTGTTTTCTCAATTGGGAGTTGGTGGTATTTCGTCTGCTTGCTCGCGGGCTCTTCTTCCAAAGTTCATTGTATGTTTACGTCGGTACGGTTCTTCAGATTGGGTCGAAGAAATCGATTTTGGTTTTTCAGTATTAACCCGCTTTCCTTCCTTTTTCTTTCACGCTATGATGCAGTCTCTTTACTTCGTTGTGTTATTTACTTGGTTGAACACAAAATGTTCGACATATGATGATTTGGCAAGATCGTAATTGCGGTTGCTAGGTATTCAGTTGTGCTTTTTCATGGTTCCAGTGATATGTTGGGTGTGCGCCGTATGAGCGATTTTGGTATCCTCGCGACGCTTTTTCTTTGGCATGTTTAACATTCTGGGCTTTGCCAAAAGCCTTTCTTTGGATCATTGGATGGATTTAGTCGGAGGTTGCTAGATCACTTAAAGATGTGTGGTTTGATCATATTTTGTTGTATAATATATTAAATTCTTATGTTTGTGTTCTATATGTATTCCGATATCTGGTCATTGGTTTTAACGACTGTCTGTTCTACTTTTGTTATTCCCTTGCTCTGTGTCACCTTATTCATATATGTATTTCAGAATGTGGTTAGGTATTCTTTCTCCCATTTGTGCACTCATCATAGCTTTATGCCTATTAATCTTTTGATTTGCCATTTTGACCTCACTTGATGCCTATTATTTTCAGAGACTTTCACTTTCTTTAATCTATTCAGGTGTCAACAACATAGACAATGATACTGAGAGTGTTCACTTTGTGCTGAATTAGGATGGTGGCTATCAAAATGTGACTTCCAAGTATTTTTTAGTTTTCACTTTAGTTAACTATTACCACGAAAATCAACTACCACTTGCTATATCAATTACTTGATAATTATTCCATGAGTTGCAGAATAAATCAAATCATGGATTCGTTCCATTCCTCATTCTTTCAGCCTACTGAACATGAATTACCTATGTGACCAAAATGTGTCATGGTTATGAACTGCTGGAAGATTGGAACTTGACTAGTCAAGAGAAAGTGAGTCTATTAGTTACCATTTTTTTCATTTCATTTTATGATTATTGTCCTTCCTCTATTTCCCTTCTTCTATTGTCAAATAAAAAAGTCTCCTCTACTCATCATGAACTTGTTCTATATCACATGTGTAGCTGACATATCATAATTGTGGTATGATTATTTGGTAAAAGTGGTATCTAAGAAATGTTTCATATGCATAGAAAGGCTTTTCTAACTTGATCTATATATGAGTGTTTCTGTGCATTGGAGTGTATACTGTTTTTTAAAGATGATTTATTAAACTAGATAATCTAGCATGGATGAGTAGTATGCAAGCTTGATGGTAGTATTTGGAAATTCAGAAGTTTAGAGTTTCCTTGTTTTTATATGTTATAGACTATTTAATTATGGGGAGGGTGGGCCTTGGTATAACGGTAAGATTGCTCCTTTATGACTTGGAAGACTAGGGTTAGAGTCATGGAAACAACTTATTTAAACATTTAAAAGTAAGACTATGTACATTGACCCTCCCTAGACCCGCATTGGAGGCTTCATATTTAAAGGTAAGGTTACATACATTGATCTTCCCTAGACCCCTCAATGGCGGGAGCTTCGTGTACTGGGTCTGCCCTTTTTTAACTACTGAATTATGGGGCAGATTGTTTGATGCAAATACCAGACAGTGCATGAAGGCAGTTCATTTTGTTGCACAATACATTTATGTCTTCTTATCTGTATCTGATTTTGCTTTGCTGACAGGACTCAAGAAGTCATGTGCTTGCAAAGTTGCAGTCAGCACTGGTGGCAAATTCATCTATACGATTTTCTGTTAAGTACCCTTTCTGCTGCCCGCATAGGTTGTCCATAAATTTGAAGGTGATTTGATCTCTTGAAAATGATTAAAAATGAATTCTGGCATATTCTCTTAAGCACAGTGAACTTATGCATTACCTATAGTGTTAAATGCTAAAACCATTTTTTTGTTTTTTGCATTATTTTAAGGCTGAGCGTGATTTTGCAATCTCAAGTGTTCTGGGTGAGAACCAAGCCATGACAACTACTGAAGAGGATGTTCAACATTGTGGAATATTTGACTTGGATCCATCACTGGAAAAATTTAAAGATCATCTCATTTACAGGTCAAAGAAATATGTGGAACAAAAATCATTGATTGAGAAATTCGAAGGAAGTCTTGAAGAATTTTCTCAAGGTATCAAGCATATATACTTGAAGTCAATTGTGTTTAAAGCATCTTATATATGCGTAAACTTATGTTTTCCTGGGACTTGGTCTCTGGCTACTTGCTCCTACATCGTAGGTTATCTCAAGTTTGGATTCAACAGAGAACAAGATGCTATTGTTTACCGTGAATGGGCTCCAGCTGCCCAGTGAGTCTTCAAGCTGTCTCTAAGAGTCCTGTTTTTCCCATTCTAACACATGCTTTCTTTATATTTCCTAAAATTGGTTTTATTGTCAAGGCATTTATTTACATTCTGCACTTGTACATATGCATTTTGTGATAAATTTTGAACTTGTGGAGTCCAATCATGGGCATTGTCTTGAGCACGTTTACTAAAATTAGGGTAATCTGGTTGTAAATAATTTAACCTGGTCAGCATTTGAGTGTGTTGTTTTAGTAAAAGCCAATATAAATGGTGGCAGCTACAATAACAACCAAGGACATGTAATGGCATTATGTAGGTGATAATAATATATAGCTTTTCGACCACTTAGAACTTGTTTAATCACGAGAGAGGGACTTAATCTCTTATCTTTGAATCAACTGACTTAATTACTAAGAAGTACGTTTTGCACAATAATACTAGGTGCATATAATGAAGCATGGAAGCTTTCATTTTAACTTTGTAGGGAAGCACAACTTATTGGAGATTTCAATGGCTGGGATGGGTCCAACCACAAAATGGAAAAAAATGAATTTGGTGTTTGGAATATTAAAATCCCAGATGCTGGAGGTAAACCATCCATTCCTCACAATTCTAGGGTCAAATTTAGGTTCAAACATGGCAATGGAATTTGGGTTGATAGGATTCCAGCATGGATCAGATATGCCACCGTTGATCCTACTCGATTTGCAGCTCCTTATGATGGAGTTCACTGGGATCCACCACCTTCAGAAAGGTCAGGTGTTGTGTTTACCCATAATGTTTTGGTTGCCGTAACTTGTTTCACAATATATATGCTAAATTTTGCAATGCGGACTTATTCCTGCAGGTATATCTTCAAGTACTCTAGACCTCCAAAACCTGCAGCTCCAAGGATCTACGAAGCTCATGTTGGGATGAGTAGCTCAGAACCATGTGTAAGCACTTACAGGGAATTTGCAGATACTGTATTGCCTCGTATACGAGCAAATAACTATAACACAGTTCAGCTAATGGCTATTTTGGAACATTCATACTATGGATCTTTTGGTTATCACGTTACAAACTTTTTTGCTGTAAGCAGTAGATCAGGAACACCGGAAGATCTCAAGTATCTGATTGACAAGGCGCATGGTTTAGGTCTCCGAGTTCTTATGGATGTTGTTCACAGCCACGCTAGCAACAATGTCACTGATGGTCTTAACGGGTTTGATGTTGGACAAGGCACTCAAGACTCCTACTTCCATAATGGGGAAAGGGGTTACCATAAGCTATGGGATAGCCGATTATTCAACTATGCTAATTGGGAAGTCTTAAGGTTTCTTTTATCTAACTTAAGATGGTGGTTGGATGAATTTAACTTCGATGGTTTTCGATTTGATGGGGTAACATCAATGCTCTATCATCATCATGGAATTAACATGGTATTTACTGGAAACTACACCGAATATTTCAGTGAGGCAACTGATGTGGATGCGGTTGTTTATATGATGCTAGCAAATCACTTGGTGCATAACCTTTTGCCAGATGCCACTGTTATTGCTGAAGATGTCTCTGGTATGCCAGCCCTATGCCGACCAGATTACGAAGGTGGAGTAGGTTTTGACTATCGGTTGGCCATGGCAATTCCTGATAGGTGGATTGACTTCTTGAAGAATAAAATGGACAGTGAATGGTCAATGAAAGAAATTGTTTGGAGCTTAACTAACAGGAGATACACTGAGAAATGTGTAGCATATGCAGAGAGTCATGATCAGGTAATTTAAAGAAGTCCATTTTTGAAATATTTTTATTTTCCAGTAGTGGCATTGGTGATAGCCAGACTTTAAAGTTCTGTTTACAGTTTCTATCATTGTTAGGCATGAAATATTTGGACAATTTTAGCACTCAACTCTAGATTAGGTTCGGTGGTTAGACTGAACATAAAATAAAAAGCATGAAAATTCATATAATATTATAATATTATGAAAAGAAAAAATGAAATTTTTATAAAGAATAATTTCATATGATTCAAAGATTCAATGATGACGATGGCAAAAGTGATCAAGACTTTAGTTATCCTAAGTTTATGGTAAATAGTCTTATAGATGAAAGAAAATAATAAATTTAATTAAGAGTGTATTTACTGCAGTGCTGAAGAAATGGCTTTGACACGTACAGACCTCAGTAGTCACTAGAGGACAGCGGTGAAACCTCTTCACGTTTAATTTGGTTATCCAAGCTATGGCATCTTGGATTTAGGATATTGGACTGTGGAGTTAAATTGCCGTTCCTATCATGTCATGTAGATATACTAGGGAATGTCTACTCTAGATGTATAGGAGTCTAGGATTTGACATCTTCATCTCTGCTATTTTGCATTATAAAAAATTTAAAGGAACCTGGAAGACACTGGATCCTGAACTAAATTTTTGTTGCATATTTCAGATAAATATAATGAAGTGTTTACACCTTAAATATGTGATATTAGAATTGGCATCCTTATTTCGTCAATTCTACTTACATAGAATATAATATAAAAGATTTGAGGAAGTTGGAACAAATCCTTAGGGATAGTGGGCACATGGGAAGAAATGAAAAATGGGCTGGAAAATGTGTTCACAGCTTGTAAATTTTCATTTTCTTCAGAAGTTTTCTGAGCTGTTGTCTGGCTTTTGGCCTAAAACTGGACCAAAATTGGCATGGTTTCTGCCAATCTGATTTTAGACCAAGCGAAATGAGTTTTGACTGGGATGTAGCCAAAACTCAGTGTATACTGATGTCATGATTGAACAGCTGCATATCCTTGATATAGAGATTGAAGTTGGAAGTGGTTATGCAATATCTAACACCTTGCATTTTCTTCTCACAGTAGGGGTGAACTACCTAATTGAACACAATATCATAAAACACTTCTCTATGGTGCTACGGCAAATAATATATGTACTGCCAGTGATACTGACACTAGTTGAAATAAATGAAGATCAATAATAGCTTGAACAAACTGGAAAGTGGAAACTACTGTCAAGTTTCTGTTTTAAATAGGAATTCATTATTGTCCAACACTACAAATGCTTATAAATAGGAATTCACTATTGTCCAACTTCTGTTTTAAGGAACTCCTTAGGGTCATTCTTTTTTTTTTTTTTTCAGGCCATTGTTGGAGACAAAACAATTTCCTTCCTCCTCATGGACAAGGTGATGTATTCAGGCATGTCTGATTTGGAACCTGCATCACCTGTAATTGAACGAGGGATTGCACTTCACAAGGTCTGTTTCTTAGATACAAATTATTTTTTTGTCAAAGTTCAGAAGTGGCATTTTGAAAGCTTCAGTTCCTTTCTTTGTTAGGTTCGTGTAATTATGTCATCACTTAGATAATTTCACTTCATAGATCAGATATTTTTCCCATATGATTGGCATTTCAGCTTTTTATCACCAACTATTCTTTATTTACTTCCCATAGCTAACAGTATTGAACCTGCAGATGATTCACTTCCTAACAATGGCCTTGGGGGGTGAAGGCTACCTAAATTTTATGGGAAATGAGGTATCGTGCCAATGATTCTTTAGTTTTTTATCATTAAATTCTTGTTACGACATGCAATAGCATTTTACCATATAAGTTTACATTATTATACCAAGAACCTACACATATTGGAGAAAGAGAGGTGTCTATCTGATGATGTTAAAGTAGCTGAGTCGGTTGGTTTAGCGTTAAAATTTATTTGGTATTTTGTCTCTAAAATTACAAAGAAAAAGAAGTGTGCATCATGGATGTTAATTGCTAATGAGTATCAGGTAAAAGAGGAAAAATAGAAGTTCACCTCATTTTGATGTCAGAAATTGAAATTCGACTCAAACTGGTAAATTCCGGACTCAAACTGGTAAATTCCGGACTCACTTACGACATGTAGTAAGTGAAGTATGATGTGAAATCTATAGAAATACATTTTATAAGGTCATGGATTAAAATTTTGGTCTAGTACAATACTGGTACACTGCCCTAATCATGTATGGAGGAGGGGGGAGAGAGAGGAGATGTGACATGAAGATAAAAATAAATAAAATGAAAAAAGGATAGCAGTAGCATCTAGCAAAAGAAAAAAAGAAAAGGTACCAATACTAGATGAATTTTATTGTTTAGTACAATTCTATAACAATCTGCTTACCACCTACCTTTGGTATGGTGAGCTTATCAAATAGTATAGCTCTCATCAGATCATACTAGACAATTATTTTTTCTGCATCCCGGTTGGTTGTTGGGCTGGTGTAAATACTGGTCCATACTAACCGGTTGGACTGTATTTCAAATATTGATTTCAATACCTTATATTAATTGAGTATTCTTGTGTATTCCAAAATTTTTAACTTTATGTTACTTGTAATTCGTCAATTTATTCATTTAGCAAGCCTATGCTTTCATTATTTTCCAATGATCTATTGGGTTTTCATAAAATACTCTGTATAAAATAGACCTTCATCCTTCCTAAAGAGATTGGCCAGCATGTGATTGACTTTCAATTTATTGATTTTTATTTTCGTTTTTGTTGACCTTTAACAGTCACATGCTATTCAAGTGTGACATAATCCACAATTCCGCATTTCTAAACTCTTCTCTTAAGATGCATAGCTTATAATGTTTGCTTGTGTTCTAGCACAAAGGCATTTTATCATCTTCTCTGATATGATTTTGTAGTTTGGTCATCCGGAGTGGATTGACTTTCCAAGAGAAGGCAATAGTTGGAGCTATGATAAGTGTAGACGCCAGTGGAACCTTGTTGACACTGATCACTTAAGATACAAGGTCAGTATGCAGCCTTGTTTGTTATTTATGATCGCATTTTTCCCTCATGCCAGTGGAATCTTTTACTTTCATACATGCAAGTTGAATGCATCCATTTAGTTTATGCCACCCCGATTCTTGTAAGAGCATGCTATTTTTACTTTTTGTTGATTGTAATTTTGGTCCTTCTATATATCAGTGTATACTGTAATCAGTTCTCCAGTCATGTCAAGTTTTATTAAAGCTCAGTCTATTTACTGTAGATCTATATGCTTAAATGTCATTGTTTTGTCTTTTGGTATGATGGTAATATTTAAATTTTGTTTTCATATCTCCTAAAGCTATTAGTTACGGCATTTATAAGTTAATCACTGATCCAGAAGTAGCTCTGACGTTTCCTTAGTACTGTTGACAAATGACATGCATATTATTAGTATAACATGAGGCATTCCTCCTACATTAACATAAGCCTTCAGTTAATCTTCTTTTTCATCCGTATTAAAATTTGTATACCTGTTTCTCTTTGTTCTGCTAATGATTTGTTTCTCATAGAATTTTGACAATACCTATTTGTTATGGTCTTGACATCAAACCAGCACATGAATGCCTTTGATAGAGCAATGAACTTGCTTGATGATAGATTTCACTTCCTTGCATCAGAGAAGCAGATAGTGAGCAGCATATCGGAAGAGGATAAGGTAAAAACAAGATGGATAATTTGTGATCATCTTTCCTCTTTGGATGTCTCTTATTTATCCTTTAGCCTTACATATATGCATAACTGTAGTTACACTAATTTTTAATGTACATTTCACTTATACTGTCAAATATATGTTTTTCCATTTATGCTACACAGAGGGTTATAGGTTCAGCTTAAACCTTCATGTTAGTGCTTATACATGTAAAGTTATTATTTCCTTTGGATCTTCTGGCTATCTGTGATGAGATACCTTAAGTGTCTCTTTGTTCATCCGAGATCCACAGCATCCATTATATTGGAAAAAGAACATCTTAACTGCATCAACTTTTTTTTGTTCATGCGATATTGGCAATAATGGCAAAGCAGTCTAGAAGGCACTAAACTGCCTTGCATGAACAGACTGCATCCTTGAAAATGATAACTGCTGTAGAAAACCTCATAATACTGTTCCTACAAAGTTTAATGGTATGTCAGTTATTTTCTTAGAAAAAGGGTGAACATAGTGCATGAGGCTATCACCACTGCAAGGTCATTAGCAGTGTACATAGTTTTACCCCCATAATACATGACTTATCACCCAGGCAGCTGTAGAACAATCTTATCATGATGCTAAGTCTCTCTCAGAATTGGGTAATGGTGAATAATTTGGAGGGAGGAATTTGATTCCAGAATCTTGCAATCAACAATTGTGGTCTTTATTAGCTAAAGTGACTGGTCACTAATATAAGTTTTGACTGTGGTGTAGCTGCCCTTTTTTCCTGCTGTCTTTTTCTTAAGGTTTTATTGTGCTGATTTAGTTTACATTTAAGAACCACCTTATCAAGTACTTTAATAAGGCTCAGCTTGATGTGACTCTCTTTATCTATCTTGGATTATTTTTTCATGTTATGTTTAAGAGAGATTGGTCAATTGTTTCTCCGTGTCAGGTAATTGTTTTTGAACGTGGAGATTTGGTTTTTGTGTTCAATTTCCATCCTGAGAATACCTATAGCGGGTAACTGTCTCATTAACATGAAAGGTTAAGTTTCACTTGAAATATATAAACTCAGCGTCTCACTCCTTTCCATGCAATGCAGATATAAAGTTGGGTGCGACTTACCAGGAAAGTATAGGGTCACACTGGATAGTGATGCTTTTGAATTTGGTGGGCATGGAAGAGTAAGATGACATTTCCATATATGAATTGCTTGTACAACTTCTCATCTCTGTTTAGGTCGTGAGTCCCATTTTGTCCTGCAAGATCTATGCATGTCTTCTCTATGTCACAATTTATGTTTAATGTCCCTAGAAAAATTAGACCAAATATGATGTCTCCAAACATAGCAATTAGGCAATGCCAGAGAAGTGTGCATATTAAATGTCCCGTGTAGTGCAAAGGAGCGTTGAGAGTTTGACTCAATTTCTCCACTAATTCGATTGAAATGTAATAATTACCTGATGTTGTAGGTCGGCCATGATATAGACCATTTTACATCTCCTGAAGGAATACCAGGAGTCTCGGAAACAAACTTCAACAACCGTCCGAACTCATTCAAAATCCTATCTCCGGCACGCACTTGTGTGGTATGTTTGTCATTCCTCAGACTCTATAATGTCCTCATAAACCTGTCAATCTGTGGATCAGTTCAATCAGTGATTTAAGTCTCCTTGTTGGTATCAGGTCTACTACAAAGTTGATGAAACTCTCCAACAACCTGATGAAGATACAACTGGCACAGAAACAACGGTGACACAGGTGCTCCAAGATTCCCAGGTTGACAAAACTGCTGAAAGCCCTAGTGAGGAAACAATCAGCACCGAGGAGACAACAGTGAGACAGGTGCTCCAAGATTCTCCTGACCTAGCTTCCGATGAAGTTCTGGTTTCGAGTGGTATCAGAGATGAAAAGGAAATAGACACGGAAGATTCGACAGCCAGTGATTAACTGTGGCTAACCCTGTTGTCATGATGTCACTCGGCATAATGCTTAGGCTTTATGAGCTGTTGCTTCTCCATTTCAACTTCATTTTTCCTTTTTTTCTGATGTATAAATGCTTCCTTGAAGACCTGAATCAGTGATATGGGCATTTCAAGAAAGAACTATTTTGTGTCCGTATGTCGACTAATACAGGTCATGGTTAGATTTTTTTGACTCAAGTATGACCTACTATTCTAGAGCAGATCAGTAGAACGAGATGCCTTATATTTTACCTGGGAAACATTTCATGTGGTCAACACTCGCATCTGCACAACATTGGAGTTTAGTTTGTGAAAAATGAGATTCTATTCTATTGGAGTGCTACAAAACATTGGAGCACACGACCCAACTCTCTATTAGATTGTGAGCTATCGAGAGAGGATTATGTTGCAGTGGAACGTGCCATCAGCTGACATTAAGCCGATACAAATATAGAAGAGAACTTTGATTGGCTCAAAATTAATGTCCAAATCGGGGAATCAATTTTTGACTTAAATAAAACAAGCGCGTAAAAATGTTCCTAAGTTTTGAAGTAAGTTTCCTAATCGGGTACATATCATCAACCCATGCCCAATAGTACTCCCGGATTCCACAAGCCGATCCGAGATTGACCTGAATCCGATAGTTATCGATTTCCTATTTGCATTATGTGGTTGCTTATGGGCTCTATTGGATCCAAACTGAATCCGACCCGATAATAATCTCGGTCAAATTCGGGAAAAATGCACGTCTTGGATCCGAAATCTCGTTTCTTCAAAAGACGTTCTCTACCCGTTCTTTATCAAATAAACCCACCCACCGACCCACCCATAAGGAAGCGTTGTTGGGGCCCCACCTTGAACTCACCTTCGGGGCTATCTGGCGCCAATCCAATCACAGAGCAGGTAGACGTCCGCAAAGTATTTGTTATTTTTTGCAACGCCGATGCCAATTCCTCTGTTCGGTCAAAAGGAAGGAGAGAGAAAGGAGGCGGGGGAGAGCGAGACGGAGAGAGAGAGAAAGAGAGAGACGATGAGGGCTCTTCTTCCTCTCCGATCCTCCATCGTGGTCGTCTTCGTCGTCGTCCTCGTGCCCTTCATTACGAACCCTCGAGGGGTCAATTCTTCGTCGGACGCTCCTTTGACGTCTATCCCTCTCGATCTCTATCATACGAGGTGCGACATTTGATTACGTTTTTCCAGATTTGTTATGCTTGTCTCTTGTTGTAATTTAGAAAATTGTTCTTCATCTTTGTTCGGGTTCAGTTTGCCTTTTCTTGTGCTTATGTTTGGCGTCAGATTGGAGGTGTCTCCAAGATCAGATAGGTTTTCGTAATAGTATGCTGCTAAAGCAAAACTGAATCAAGATTACTTGGAAATGGGAAACAAGTATGGATGTTAATGATTGAATCAACCGCTTATCTCGACTTTAGAGGGATTCTCTTTCAAGTAACGAGGAAATATGATGAACGGGGTTCTGTTATGTTTAATTAGAATAAGTTTCGAAAGTGTGATTTATGCTGGCATCTTGCTTTCAGATCTTGAATCATTTTTCCTGTAATTAATTTATGGAAACTATATTAAAATGATAAAGATTTTTTTTTCTTTATTTCTTTGTGAAAAATTTTGCCCTGTGATTTTCGTCAGTGATGCTTTGCTGAAGGAAATCAAGTCGCTGGTACTTCGGCATCCAGACACTTTGTCTGTAAGTGGTTCAGCTTATTGTTCTTTAGGAACGCTTAAATATTTGTTGATTCTTGACTTTGATGTTATCTTGGCTAAATAACAATAGATGGAGACAGTGAAAATGGGCAATAGAGGCTATGCTGCAGAGGTATTAGTGGTTACATATGATCGAAAAACGAAGCATGACAATGAAAAATCAAAGTTCCGTATACTTATGGTGAGTAGTATGAATTGCTTTATGTTGGAAGGTATTTATATTGGGCATATTATGTTGTTGTCACATTGTTTTAATCGAGAGAGTAACGGAAACTGGATATCATAAGAAAAAATGATAGATTTTATTCAGCATTTCAAATCAGTTTACAGTGTGAAGAGAATCATTTTGTTGAAAATGATGATTTGCTTTTGATTAAGAAAAACCTAATAAATAAAAGAATTACTGTTATTTTGCTAATGCCTTAATCTGAGTATGGATGGATTCTCTCAGATTTTAATGGCTCATATCTGTGACAGAACATTCCTTGTATTCCAGAGCTTTGGACAGCACGGGAGAGAGCTTATAACCTCTGAAGTAGCATTGCAACTACTTTCTGTTTTGGCTGAAGAGCATAACATACTGAGCATGGGCCCGGTGTCCATTACTAAAGAGCTGGATAACATTGTGATAAAGGTAAACCATACAGCAGGCACTTCAGATTTGTTTTATATTAGGATAGTTAGGAATGGATATATAATTTTATATAAATGTAACATCATCTTAATTGGCCTGTTTGTATATACTTATCGAGGCAGAAGCAATTTTTTTTCAGGGTTATACGTTGATAGATGCATGCTAGCATTCTGGATACTATAATTTGTTGACCTGAATATGTTTTCTGGTCCAGAAAGTGATACCTTGACTGACCTCTATGAATGTTCCAAATTCATGGTGTGACAAAGCAATCTTACTTGTTGGTCATTAAAGATGTTCATTTATGGATTAGTCCTTTATCAAATCAAAGTCAGTATTTATTACATACTCAACCGTTTATCACAAGATAGCTTACTTAATTGTTGTTCAATAGTTATCTGTTATGACCAAGAAGCTTACTTATCTGAAGTTAACTTAATTGATTGTGTGTTTACATTGTCAAGCTTGAAGTCAAAATACTAATGGAGGAAAAAAAAAGTATAGGCCTGTAACTAAGTTTGTCAAATTTTATACTTGTTATTCTAGATAGTAGTTAATTATAGAGATTACAACCAAGCAGCTTTACATTAGATCCAGCTTAGTTTCAACTATCAAACAACAGCTTATAGGGTTCCATGGAATTTGGAAGAGGAGAATTGGGATTGATGATAAGGAGGGATGATAGCAGAGGAAAGAAGTGACATGTCAACTAGAAAACAGAGTCACTTGTGGTAGAGGTCCTATAGCTTGATAAAGATTCTATTAATAGTGTTACCACCTATCAATACTCTACTTGTTTAAGGACTCTTATGTTATATTTAGGTTCAATCACAACTATTTAAAACAAGAAATTGATGGAAACTTTTGAATGGATCATCTTCCCAGAAATACTAATCTAATAGGTAGGAGTTTAAACAGAATCCTGGTAGTCAGCTGAATGTCTTCTATTATTATACATTTCCAACTTCTTGACTTCTTACTCAGGATCTACTTAGAAGGAAAACTGGACAGAAAAATAAGAGAGGAGAAACACAAATAATATACAGTATTACTTGTTTTGATTTAGGTATAAATTACTTGTAGTAGTCCTCAGGATGGATTTTTTTTTTCTTTTTTGTTCTCGATGGGTATTGGCACCTTATAACATACTAGAGAGGAGAAAGAACACCTTGTAACAAGTCTATGTTGTCTACTATTTGACACCTTTATTTTTAAAAGTACCAACACCCCGCCGGCCCCCCCCCCCCCCACCCCCCCCCCCCTAAAATGGACTAAGAAAAGCTACTTAAAATTAAAGAAATGGCTTAAACATTCTTATTTATATTCGAGCAAGGATTTCTTTTGTCATTGGTTTGAGATTGCTCGATGACTTGTATGAAGAAGATAATTGTAGTCATTTGAGGAGAAACTTGACATGAGATAATGGCATGCCCATCCTGCCTTGACATGCTGATGCACTGTCCTGCCATCAGACAACTGACAATGTTTCCCTGTCCCTCGAGGATAGGGTTTTCAGCCTTGTCACCCAGGTTAGCAGCAGGCATTGTGCCTGGCAACAGCCATTTGAGGCCTCAGCAGGAATAACCATGATAGCCCCCAGAGATCGTCAATGCGACCCCCCTGATAACTTATACAAAAGTCAGGCTCCTTTCACACAATAGCTTATATAAAAGTCAAACTCCTTCCATATTATTTGTTTAATAATTTGTCATGTTCAAGAAAATTTGGATATTTGGTATTTCTCTAATAGGAGTGAGCAGCTATTTGTTGGTGCTCACTGGTAGTGATCTTTTCCAGTGCTTCAGTTCCTTTCAATTGATGGATACAAATTTTTCGTGCAGCAAGTTTGATAGGCATCTCTCTGTTGGAGACCTTTGCATTATTGTTTTTTCTTCTTTTAAGAACACTTTTAGCTAATCTAACTCGGGCTACAATTCATTTCACCGGGCAACGCTCCTCCGCTATTAATTAGGACTTGGTTCTCCAGCTCATCTAACTCTGGCATCAAACACAGATGAAACAACTTTCTAATATGATTATGTAAATTTGATTAAGCAATAAAATCTGACATCTGGGTACATTAGCCTTCTCCAAACCCCTCATTGCTGGGAGTCTCGTGCACTGGGTATGTGCTTTTAATAAAATCTAACAACTTTGATGTTTCCAACAAATGATATGCTTGCCAAGTTCGTTTTTTAAAATTCACTGTATTATGTAGCTCTTCATAATTAGTGAAGCACAAAATAGAAAAAGGCTCCCGACAAACTAGATGTGATTATAGTAATATATCTTGCATTTGATAGGTGGTGCCAATGGAAAATTTGAATGGACGCAAGCTTGTTGAAGCAGGAGACCTTTGTGAAAGGAGAAATGGTATGTATTTTGCAGACAGTTAAGTGTACAAATTATTGTATTCATCATTTATTGTATTCATCAATGGTTTTCTCTAAGTTCTTTTCATCTGCAGGAAGAGGAGTTGATCTTAACAGAAATTGGGGTGTGGATTGGGGAAAGAAGGAGAAGGTTAAGTTCTTTAGTATACTTCTCTTTTCTGAGAAATTGATCCAAATTTCTGATACTTGCACAAATTTGCATCCCTCATCTTTTTACGTTGTCAACCACCTATGCAACTTATATAACCAGTCCAGTGCAATTTACTCCTTTTACCAACTTAGTAGGACAATGTATCATCATTTAAAAAAAATTAATAGCCTTTTTTTTCTGAACTGCATGATACATTTGAAGCTCAAGTTAATACCAGTTATTTTATTATTGCTAAGATACTATAGATTTGAACTTCTGACAGATGTTAACACATTGTGGCAAGATAGTGTTTTTTTTGTGTGTGTGTGTAGCCATACATGCATGCATTATTATCCAATTCTTCAGTAAATTGGTGATATTATGATGATTGGGTAAATGTTGATGCACTTCTTTACTTTTCCTAAATTTGACAGGACTATGATCCATATGAAGAAAACCCTGGAACAGCCCCTTTCAGTGAGCCTGAGGCTCAAATAATGCGGCAGCTTGCCAAGTCCTTTGAACCTCATATTTGGGTGAATGTGCACTCAGGAATGGAGGTAGACTATGCGGTTCTTCTTTAACTTCCTCTTTTAGTCCTTGGACTTGCAACCTTAAATTTTCTACTTGGTTTTGTAGTCAGTAAAAGACTTCAGTTTACTAAGAAGTGAGAATGTTAATTTTCCTGTACAATGAAGCTAAAGCTGCCTGCATTCTGATAAGGATTCTGAATACTTTTCTTTTGTAGCTAAGCATCTGACTATATGATCTTTCCTTCCTAAATAGAAGATGCTATTCATCCACGGGAAATTTTATCCGATTACAAATTGAATATTAAGGCTAATTTTATTTGGCAGAAGCCATGAGGAGCAGACATTTGCACAAATTAGTGAAAAAATAAAAGAATATAGATGTGAAGTTTGTTGAATCTGAGAAGAAAGACTTCCAAAAAAATTAAGGAAATAGGATATAATGTAACATGGATATGACTAATATGTTTATGGTTAATTTGTTTATATGACACTTTAAAGCTTTTGCATTTGTTTAGGAAATCAGATATTGCACCATTGAGAATTTCATTTAATGGTAAGTAATAATGAGAGAAGATATTTCTCAGAACACTGTTGTGAACCGAAAAGGTTATGCTAATAAACAATGAGAGAAGTAACTGCCTGTAATAATTATCTATTGACAATATTCCAGTCCATTTGTCCATCGTTAGAAGGCAAACAATGATGATAAAGCTCTACATTAATATTCAACTAGTATCCCCAAATATCCTTGAAGCACCTGTTCTTTTACTTAAATTTTTTTATATTTACAGCAAGTATCCGAGACATCTGCAAATGGGAAATCAGCCAACATGTGGCAATAACTGACATGTAACTCCAAGACAAGTGTTGTGATTGTTTTGAAGTATCCTGATGGACATGTCTGGACACTCTGTTATAGAATTGGCTTCTGAAGTTACAGATGTTATCAATCACAAATTTTTTAGGTTGCTAAGCTTTTGAAAAATAACAGCTAACAGTCTTTAGCTCAAGAGGGATTGGATTTGTATTTTTCTATACTCATTTAGTGGTTTACAGGCTCTATTCATGCCATATGATCACAAGAATACTACGCCAGATGGGCACATGTCAAATTTAATGGAGTTTTTACTATGGGATGTAAACCGTCTTCACTTTGAAGAGAAATGCTTAGTTGGGTCAGGCGGAGGCTTAGTAGGGTTTGTATTACTTGAAAGCAACTATTTCCTCTAGATTTTGAACAACAATACTCTATGAACATGGAATAAACATGCTTTTCAGGTATCTTGCTCATGGGACAACAACTGATTATATGTATGATGTTGTTAAAGTGCCAATGGCTTTCACTTTTGAGGTTAGTTGATCACACTAATTTTTCCTTACTACCATTATTTGCTTGCTAATCACCAAAATGAAGGATTTTCTACACATTTTCTGTTTGCAGATATATGGTGATTCAGAAGCATCTTCGAAGGACTGCTTCAAAATGTTCAATCCAGTAGATAAACTTGAGTTCAATGTATGTAATTTAAGCAATGCCTAACTACCTACTTTTATGATTTTTAGTATTGAAGAAGTTTTATTTGGATTGCAGAAAGCTGTCAACAAATGGAGTGAAGCATTCCTCACGCTTTTTAGGCTGGGTCCTTCCCGGCTTGCTACAACTTATGGCTTAAGAAAATGGGACTCCATGGGTGGTAAGGTCATAGATGGGAGCTTAGAAAGTAACAAAGAAAACAAGATCGATGGACTTGACCTCGGTATGAAAGATCTGCGGAATTATTTCAGGCTTTTTCTACTATCATCTGTGCTTTTGATGTTCATGTTCTGCTCAAGGATATCAAAGAGCAAATATAGACAGACAAATTGAATTTGAGTTGGGGTAATTTATTTACCGAGGTTCCATCAACTGTACGATGCGATGCGGGGGGAAATGTATTCAGTTACAGTTACTATACAATTTTCTTGAAATTCCTTTTCGTGCCATGTTGAGTCAATTTATGTGGTACCCGAACAGTTCCATTGCCTTTGCTTTTCAGGTATGCACATCAGCACCTACATTTATATTAATTAATCTCCTGCCATCAAATATTTAGCCTTATATTAATTAGGTATTGTCATAACAGGTTGATCTTCTGATGGCAGAATTGGGCATATTGAAGGGTCAAAGATAAGCAGATGGCAGAAGGTGAAGCTACGGACTTCTGATCGCTCCCGGATGTGTAAGTCTGGCTCAGGGAAAGTTAAAGAGACTAGTTTCACTAACATGAGAGTAACTTCCTTTACAATCTCATCAAGAGAATTTACCATTTTGTAACAAATTCGTAGTAACAGTAATCTGCAAGCATTCCATTCAGAAAATGCATCCACTGGCAGATGATCGGCTTTTAAATCTAACCAATCGTCTATCGTAGCTCCCTGTTGCTGTCCTGTCTTCGGCCTGTATGTATTGCAAGCTTTAGCAATGATCATTCTGCCATCTTTTTTGCTTTTTCTTAAATAGTTAGAGATGTCAGATCACGAGTAAAGGATTATTTATCACACATGTTGCTGCTGTAATGTCTTTTTTGGCTCACAATTTTGTCTGTCTTCATGCCTGTGAAGAAACAAACCAGTTCATGAACTGAGCAAAACTGTGGTTGGTCGTGTCATGTACACTGGGCTTGAAGGATATAATACATCGTTAAGCCAGACGATGTTGGTTGTCTCACTCACAAGCTTATGACTTGCACTATGATGGGTTCGGTTAGGCACATGACAGATTTATGTGCCTGTAGCTTCATAAGAAAGATGTAGCTCTAATTTCCAAGAGTTGATGGCAGAATCAGAGAACACAGATCCACTGTCTGATCCCCATATTCATTCCCCTCGAACGAAGATAACCATTCTTGGATGAGTTATTGACAAAGCAGAGGTTTATAAAGCCACCACGGTGAATACAGAACCAATGAACCTCCTCCATGTGCTTGAAAATGTTCGTTGCACCCACATGGTTTTCATAGACAGACTGAAGGGTGCATAAACCATTAACACAATCAGAAGAACAGCAAACATCACTCAATACATACGCCAAATTGCCAATGACATGCCAACAGCGAGAAATTATTATATACAACAACAACAACAACAAGTGGTGGTAGTTCCCACTTGCCAGCACATGGTGTCAAAAATAAAATTAATAAAAGAACATTCAATTTGCTGATCCCTCATGCTCATGCAATTGAGGTAATCTCTGCAGGCCATCATTTACCGTCACCTCACCTCTGCAGCCAGATGCTTCAGAGTGCTAGAATTCCAATGCTCGAAGCTTCAAGGTTCCATCTACCAACCTGTCATAAAACCTTGTTCCAAGTTAGTCACGGTAGATATCAGTTTTCGACAAACAACCACATGGCCACGCCAATAAAGCCAATAAAAGTATTATCTAGATAACTGTTTTGCTAAAATAGGGAGCAAATGCTCCTTTTTAATTGCAAAACTGGAAAGATATTGGAAAATTATGAAGCAAAAATAGAAGCATCCTTATCAATCTAATTAGTGTAGCCGTGACCATGTTATATCTAGTTTCTATTATACTAACGATCTCTATCTCTTACAATTATTATCATTGCAATCTTCCCTGATTTTTTCACATAAATCAACTCTTACAATTATTGACAGCATGGTGACATGTTCTTTTTTTTTTCATAACTGTTCTGTTTGATCCCTAAGACTCAAGTATTATATTTTGATGCACATCTTTCTGCTGATCCAGAGCAGACAATAAAAGAGAAAGAAAAAAAAAAGTCATTTAACTAATACCGAGCATCATTTATCTACACAAAGGCTCATATACACACAGCAGAACAAACCTATCCATCCTGCATTAATCCATGAACCTTGGACAGGCATAAAACTGTGCTATAATTTTATTTATTTTTTATAAGATCATATTTGACATCTCCAATAGACCATACTCAGCTTGATTTACATGGCACCATTATAAAATTTATATACTTCATCTTAAAGAAACACTTGACGTACGTGTCATATCTCTGGCGTGTTTAGAGCAGAATGTAGAACTTCTTCTAGATACTTCTCCGCAGCTGCATATTGCCTTTTTTTGTCCTCAATAGCTAATGCAGCAAGAGTTTTATCCTGAACAAGTTACAGAAGGTGTCTTGAATTCTGTTAGCAACAACAAAAAAAAGTATATATTGAAACAATGTTACATACAGGCGGCAAGTCTTGGTAGCTCCTCAAGGTATCCAAGATGGGTTTGGTTTTCTTCTCCAAGTCCTTCTTATGCTCGGCCATTTCCATCAACACACCATGGTTGATATCCGACGTATATCCGACACGATTTAGTATTGCCTGCTCACAACACAACCTAATTTTCAAGAACAAATTTCATCCAAAAATAAGTATAAAAAGTCAGCATCATTCAAATAAATTCCCACCAAAAAAGTTGAATAAATTAAAAGGTGTTTACAAAAAGTTCCACACGGTAGTTCCATACATCTATTCATAACAAGTCAGAAATAAATTACAGATCATCAAATCAGAAACTGGAAACTCAACCATAATCACAAGCTCCATGATCTTTAACAGCTACGGACCCAAATACATCCACTAAGCATTCTGATACATAACTTGCATTTTCAGTAATTAATAACTTCTTCTACCACCTTAGAGCATTTCTTAAAGGATATCTTGAATGTAACCACTTGATGACAAAATGTGTTAGCTCTATATCCTCTTATATTAAATCAGGCACATTAATAAAATTTCAAATTACTGTTCAAATCAACAGCAGTCCAATAATAATTTCATAATACAGACCTAAGTATTGTGTATAATACTTCCTTTAACAAAGCTTAGTGCCAAGTAAACATCCAGACAGCCAACCATAAACATTTTGAGACCTTATGGCTTGTCGTATACTGATTGATTCCGTATTTATCAAAAAATAATAGTATGCTTATTTCAATAATGAAAGCCAATTTAAACATACAAACTAAAATTAAGAAATGGAATAGAAACACAAAATTTACCCAAGGTTTTCAAGAGCAAGAGCTAAACACAAAAGAAGTCAGTTATCTACCTAAGCTACTATTAATAGTGAACTAGCGATGGCCACTTTCTATCAAAAGATATGAGGATGCAGTGAAAAGAACAAAGAAAAGTGTGCTTCTATACTAGTTCATTTCAAGATACTCAAACGCCAATAATGTGCTTGCGAAACTTGATCGTATTCCCACTATGCAATAAGTTTCCTGTTGAGAGACAAAGGTCAGCCACCAGTCGGATGAAGTCCCCTCCTTTTCTAAAGGCAGCTCACAGGACACTCTTGTCGCACAATGGAGATCCAGATAATGAGTCCTAGGAACATACTAAAGTCATAGACAAGAACATGACTAGTGTACTTTACCAATGCCTATTGCTGATAGGCATATTATGAACTGCACCAGACCGAGGCAAGCTAAATAATGCAAATGTGTGACAAAAGATTTACCAATATACAACTGGTGCAGTCAAATTTTGTATTCTGGTGAATATTGCATATTACTATGTTTATGAAAGTATGGCATCCATATTGTTTATCGATATGTATGGTAAAAAGTGAGCATCATGCACCATGATTATGCTCCTCTCTAGCTACCACCATACATACTATAACTATCGGTTGATCCTCATGGGAGCTCAAGAACTACACTCAAGGAATGCATGTGAGATGGTTCTTGATATATTTTCACTGTCCTTAAAAGACTTAGTTTCCCAAATTTCGAGTGACACAAGAGATGATACTGGAGTATGTGGAGTATGCAAGACCAGATCTTGTACTATGCCATACAAATCCCTAAAATTTTCATGAGAGATACTAACTAAAATAATTTCAGAAGAGAGTAATAATTTCAGCACCTACTTTGTCAAACATATTCAAACATCAACAAGTTTGACATAATAATTAGGTAATGATCGTATAGATTTTTTTTAAGCAATGAATTGGGAGACATTTTGACATCACAGCTTCGATTGGTTTCAGGAAGATACTTTGACCAAATCAAGGGGGTGGAAGAATGATTGGATGTTTGATGAAGTGTGCAAAGCAGTTATCTTCAGCATACTTATTGAGCAAGAACAAACAGTACATAACCAGTTGACAATCCAGATTCATAGGTTTGGTTCCAACCGCAAAGCTTTGTGGCACTTGTTTGAGACCAATTGCCGACACTGAGTGAAACTTTTAGAATGATCAAGCACTAAAAACCAAAAAAATCTTACTAATTTACTTTGTTCAGGCCAAATTATAAGCTCAAAGACAATGCTCCAGCATGTTTGGGCAAACATGAGTATATACTAGATATTATTTTGCCAGCAAGAGACTACCAGTAAATGCAGCAAACTCAAGAAAATAAGACAATATAACAGCATAAGAGTTTTCTATTTTGGCTAGTTTATGGCTCTATGCCAGAACCTGCATAGACAATATCTAAAACTAACATGAAGGAAACAACTTGATTGCAATGTGTACCAATGTGTTTTCTGTTCAACCCATTAGGAGATAAGCTTTCAATCTGATCTGATACACCAATATGTCACTGTGACTTTTTTGAACTCAACAAACCAACATGTGACATCTTGAGAGAAATAAATATCGACAAGTACCTTGAAATTATTGAGCTGAAGCATATACTGGCGCTCTTTCGAATCCAAGATTGCCAGATTTGTCTGCCACTGCAGCATCTGAGCCTCATGCAGTCCTACTTCATTTTCGAACTTAGCAAGTGTTCTGAAAAATTGAGGAGGATAAAACTTATTCCTGAATCCATAAGATATCACTCAACTGTAAAAAAAAAGTGACTAAAAAACTTTATGTTTATAAAGGAGTAGACAAACTGACTAAGGACCAATTTGACTCTTATAGAACTCAAATAGAAAGTCGTGATTTACTAAAACTTGAGAATCTTGAAACAAATAAGCATTCTTACTTCTTAAGATCGTTGAGCTTCGCAATGGCTTTTCTAGTGTACTCAAGAAGAACCTTAGACTCCTTCTGCACCTTCGCCCTCTTCTCCTCCACATCTGCCTTCCTCAAAGACAGATCTCCCATGGCCACAACAAAACTGCACCCAATTCCATATTATGTCAACAGAAAATGCATCCACAAGAGCATAACCATTACAAGAAAAGATCACATTGCAATATGAAACCCAACCCTAACCCTAAGCCTACCTACTCATCTCCGTGTCCCGGATGTTTAGTAGATTGGCGACGCCAGCGACGACCTGAGCGGACCCAATTGCGCCAGGGGAGAGTTGCTCCCGCGCGAGGCCAACGCGCTCCAGGACCTCGCGGATCCGAGCGGCCTCGGCACGGTACTCGGAGGCCTTGAGGCGGAGGTCGGCGGCGACGATGGAGGCGGCACGGGAGCGAGCCTGAGAGAGGGAGGCGAGGGAATGCAGGTGGGCAACGCTGCGGGGAGTGTACTCGAAAGCCGGCACGTCCCTCCCCGCCGCCTCGAACTGGGAAGCCAACCACGCCTTCACCTCCGCGATCCGCGACGCGTCGGTGGCCGCACCAGCGCCGCTCTTCGCTGCCGGATCGGAGGTCGGCGACGCGTCCAGGGCGGCAGCGAGGTCGCCCATCGTCTCCATCGGAAGCCGGTGACCCGTCGCCTGGTGTCGAAACCCTAGAAAGAGAGGGAAAGGGGGGGGGGGAGAGAGAAGAAAGAGACACTCGACAAGCGGTTTGCCGGTTGGGTTCAAGTAGGCGATGCTTTAGACCGGGGTCGGCAAATGAACCGGAAACTGGCCGGTTCGAGTAACACATGATTTGGTTCGGATTAAATAGAGCGAGCTAATGTTTCTCCGTAGAAAACACATGAGAGTTCAGATCTGCAGCGTCCCATAAAGAAGATGCATATTCTTCATCATTTTTCTTTTTCCTATAAAAAATTTCTCTTTATTTTAATTATCAATATAAGTGCTTTATTCTTTTCATTTTAAGCTAATCCTCTAATAATCAACCTGCCATCCACAGGGAGGCGAACGCCCAACTTAAAATGAAATGGATCCAAGTCTCTCCCAAGGAAGAACGCTTCGGGACACCGCCGCCGTCTCATGGCATACGTGACGGCGCGTCTCCTCGCCCGTGCTCCGGGGAGCGGCCGCGTCCCTGCGGTCTTGCGATCCGCCTCCACCCGGCTGCACGATGGTCCGATAGGACAGGCCGAAGCGGCGGTGGACCGGTTCGACCTGAAGGCGTACATGGCCGACAAGGCCCGGCGGGTGGACGCGGCCCTGGACCGTGCTGTGCCCCTCCGCTACCCTGAGCGACTCCACGAGTCGATGCGCTACTCCCTCCTGAGCGCCGGCAAGCGCATCTGCCCTATCCTCGCCCTCGCCTCTTGTGAGCTCGTCGGAGGCGATGAGGCCACCGTCATGCCCGTCGCCTGCGCCGTCGAGATGCTGCACGCCGTGTCCCTCATCCACGACGACCTCCCCTGCATGGACAACGACGACCTCCGCCGGGGCCAGCCGTCCAACCACCGTGTCTTCGGCGAGGGCACCGCCGTGATCACCGGCGACGCCCTCATCGCCCTGGCCTTCGAGCACGTGGCCGCCGCCACGGCCAGCGTGCCGGCGGATCGGGTTCTCCGGGCCGTCGCGGAGTACGGGTCGGCGATTGGGTCGGAGGGGCTGGTGGCGGGCCAGTTTGTGGACATCGACAGCGAGGGCAAGGCAGTGGGCGTCGGCGTGCTGGAGTACATCCACCTGCACAAGACGGCGAGGCTGCTGGAGGCGGCCGCGGCGTGTGGGGTGATCGTGGGCGGCGGCGGGGACGCCGAGGTCGAGAGCGTAAGGCGGTACGCGCGCTGCGTCGGCCAGCTGTTCCAGGTGGTGGACGACATACTGGACGTGACGAAAACAACGGAGGAGTTGGGGAAAACGGCCGGGAAGGACGTGGCGAGCGGCAAGACGACGTACCCGAAGCTGATGGGCCTCGAGAAGGCGCAGGAGCTAGCACAAACCCTGGTGGTGAAAGCGGAAGCAGAGCTGCATGGGTTCGACCGCGTCAAGGCGGCGCCCCTGCGCCATCTCGCTCGCTACATCGCCGATCGCCAGAACTGAAGTCGACACTCCACTTTTAGGCAATCACGTCCTTCTTCATGTCTCTTTATTTGCAGGACAGCAATTAAATCTGATCTAAAGATGTTTTATTTGATCCGACTACATTTCTCAAAAAATTTCTTCTGATTCAATAATCCGAAGATTGAAACATATATCGTCTCTGATTTGGTTCTTTCGCGACTTTAGAAGAGTATCAATGAATTAAGATATTGATGCTACGGTCGATGTATGAGTAAACCTGAGGTGATCTAAAGGTATATGAGTATCCAAATTAGCTTCAAGGTGGGGTGTCAAGCTCTCGAGGCGCTACCTATATTCAGATTGATATCGGGAGAAGTTTTTCGATCCGATCCTTTAATGTTTAAATTAGTCATCGATGGTTTAGTAGGTATCAATTTTTTCAAGAAGAGAGCCCTCTTGGCATGGTGTCAGGATTACCTTTTATACCTTAAAAGGGATAACCCGTAACTACTTCAACATTTCCTTCTTAGCGTTTTGTCCACGTGAGCGGTAGGGGAGAGATACCCTCAAACGACCTGCCTTAGACTTTTGTCCATGTGAGTAGACGAGCGGGGGTGACTTGGATATCTCTCCTTCCACTATAGTTTTCACATTGTGCTTATGTGTTAGATATTGATTGGTCATTAATGTATTTCTTATCATTTTGACTCTTCTTCTAATGCCAAAATATTGAGGAAAATCATTGTTAACGTCTGAGTCAATCTGATATGGTCCAAACCCGAAGGTGCAAGTGTTTGAAGTGGCTCTAAGGTGGCTTTTCACGACTCACACGTCTCGGGCACTTTTCGCTCTACATCTCTACCATGGCGGATTAATCTTAGTGGCGGTCGGGTTTTCTCGACTAACACACTTCGGGCGCATTTCATCATATGTCTAAATCGTGGTGAATTAATCTTAGCACGAGTCAGGTTTTCTCGACTCACATGCCTCGAATATATTTCATCTTGTGTCTCCGTTATGACACATTTCACTTGGCACGATTGACTCACACACCTCAGGCACATTTCGTATTATGCCTTAATCGTGATGGATTAATCTTAGCATGGATCGAGTTTTCCTGACTCACATGCCTCGAGTACATTAGTTAGTACCCTTTCGACCCCACGCTTGGGTCTTTCTGCCTGTCTTACAACGCCTTCGAGGTGGGACTCCATCTTCCCCTCCACTTGCTGATAGTGTCCTACCTCTAATGGTAGAGGATATTACATTCTCAAATGACGTCAAACTAATGACGTTATATAATAGTGTTCATTAAAGAATGTCAACGTGTCTATATTACTCTGACTTACACCCTTTTTGTCATTTATTTTTTTATTGTGCAAGGGAAGAATTGGCTACTACTTAGTCGCTCGTGGTGGTTTTAAGGTCAGTGGTGCCCCTTCCAACAATAAAGGTTGATAAGAGCGCTTCTTCCTCGTAAGTTTAAGCTAAGACTAGGGATTCAACCTTGCTTGGTCGACACATTGCGTTGATAACACTCCTTCATTCCTTTCGGACAAGAAGACAGATTGAGTGCTTCGACTAAGGAATATATTCTCTTCCTCCAAGACAGTCCAGAAGATGGATGAGGATTGACTAATCGACGGGGGTCTTAGCTTGGCTCTTTAAGGTATGACATGAACCTCCCATTGCTTCATTTGGCCTTTCTTTTGTCCTCAATCTTGTGATTTGGGCTTTTTATAGGCATGGATTTGCACTCTTTGAAGAGGAAGGTATTTGGTTCCTTATCAGGCACCACGGAGCCTCGGAAGGCACTCGGTTCCTCGTCGGGCATGGTAGAGCTCTAGAAGACGCTCGATTCCTCGTCAAGCACGGTATAGCCCTAGAAGGCGCCCGGTTCCTCTATGGGTGTGGCGAAGCCCCATTCGGCCCAGGTTGCTCACAAACAGTCAGTAGAGGAATTGGACCCTCCTCGGTCTAATCATCATGGTGGTGCCGATAAATCGAAAAAGAAACATAAAGTTATTACAAGGAAAATCCTGCACCCTTAGAGGGACAGTGCACCCGAGGAGTCGTCCTAGGAGAGGGTGCCTCCCACCACTACGGCACCAAAGCCTCCTACCTCTGCGGCACCAACACCTCTAGGAGGCCAAAGTTCCAAGTCATCCTCGAGAAAAAAGGGGAGCAAGCTGCAGTCGATGTTGGACTTGTGCAAGGGGAAGCCCCTACCCTTTACGACTTTATAGATGGTTAACCTATCAGATTTGACCCTGGATGCACCGCTATGACCTTGATGGGAAGGCTTGAAAGAGATGTAGAAGGTGTGAGGTGAGGACACAACTGCAGAGTAGAGCTACCACGGGTCCTTGTGCCCGAGGATGGCAAAGAGGATCTACTACTCCCCCTCGAAAGTTTTGATTGACACTTGCTACCGAAATGAAGTAGTAGTAAGTTGGGCTACAACTAGCTCCTTCGGTTTCAACTTGCTGACTCATTCACTTTTGATTTGTAGCACCACCACTACGTAACGACCCTCATCGATCGTGTCCGAGACATTAGTGTTGTTATTCATCAATAGTCTCTTATGGTTGATAACCATCAGCCAGAGATCAAGGAATTGAGGAATGGGAGACAAGCCCCTTCTACCGTCGTCGACGTGGAGGCTTAGGCAGTCAAGCTAGCGCATCAACTAGAGAACATCGAGCAGCACCTGGCTGGCCTTCCCAAACAACTAAAAGAAGTTCGGGACAACAACCGAGCCATGGAGGATGAACTGTTATGGCTCACCTATGAGTTAGACTCGATGAGAATGGGCAACTCGAGGCTTGTTGAGGAGGTCAATCAACCATTCGAGAGACTCACGAGTTAGGGGAAGCACTTGAGGTTGGGCAAACGCATAACCTGGAGCTTGTTGAGGAGGTCGTGTTGGCCAATAGGGAGGCTCGCAAGCTAAATAAAGCACTAGAGTATTGCAAGGAGGTGATTACTGGCTACAAGGCATTCGTTGGGCTCAAAAAGGGTTTGGAGAGAATGAAAGTCACCTCATACTAGTTCAAGTACCAAATCACTTTGGTTGATTTCAAGGAGAGGTACCTCAAGTTGGAGCTTGAGGAGGATCTATTCACATATTACCCCAAGGACCAAAACGTCTCGATGCCAACCATGATGCCCTTCGATGATAGCCTTGACTCACTGTCCCATCCTGCCACCTGAGTTATCGTCTCCAACTTGATCCCTTTTTTGGTTGTCAAGTCAGTCTATTTGACTCGTTTCGTTTGTCTGCACTATCGATGCTTTGTTTTAACAGGTTGGGGGTTTCACCTTGGATGTAGAAGCCTAACTTGGTTGATGTAATCATTCTAGGAGTAATAAATTTTTATCTTCTTAATTCACAACTAGAATTTTAAAGATACATCTTATAATCGATACCCTAAGGCTAATAGGTCAATATCTAATGCTCGAGGCATTGTCCTCTTCAGACTGATCTCGAAGGAGACCTTAAGGGTAAAACTTCTTTATGTTTGTAATGTGCCACGTTCTCGGCAACGCCACACCCTCTATTGTTCCAAGGTAATAATATGTTTCATATCGAACAACTTTGATGACTTGATAAGGCCCTTCCTGATTGTAGAGCTTGACCATCGCTATTTTGTATCTCAATGCTCGTAGGTGTGCTTCAGCTCTAACTTCACTGATTAGGTGGAGACTGGCTCGAGCCCCTCTTCGGAGATTTCTTCATCAAGTTCTTAATTCGATGTATCGTGAAGACTATCTCAAGTGGTAGGATAGCTTCGGTGTCGAATACCAAGTTGAATGATGATTCTCTCGAGCTAGTCTTAGGTATCATTTGGAAGGCCCATAGGATGCTTGGCAACTCATTCGCATAGGTACCCTTTGCTCCAATGACCATCTTCTTTAATTATTTGAGAATAACTCAGTAGGTAACCTTGACGAGACCATTGGTTTAAGGATAAGCCACTGAACTAAATTTCAATTGAATCTCGTAAGATTGGTAGAACTTCTTGAACTTTATATTATTGAATTGGGTCTCATTGTCAGTGATGAGGGCCCTCGGGATTCCCAAGTGGGTGATAATGTTTCTCTACATGAACCCCTTAACTTGTTTCTCGGTGATCGACGTTAGAGGCTCAGTCTTAACCCACAATATGAAATAGTCCACTCCTGCGATGAGAAACCTCCGCTGTCCTGAGGTGGGGAGAAAAGGTCCTAGGAGGTCTATGCCCAATTGGGCAAAGGGCCATGTGCAATCGATTAAGCTCATAAGGTCTACTAGTTGGTGTTGTATCCAAGCAAGCTCCTGACACCTGTGGCACCTCTGGGCATAGGTGATTACATCCTTGCACAACGTCGACCAATAGAACCCTTGTCGAAGCACTTTGAACGCAAGATTTCACCCGCATATATGTTCCTCGCAAATGCCTTCGTGCACTTCAGTGAGTTGCCTCTCAACCTCTTGGGGTGTCAAGCATTGGAGAAATGATTTGATTGGAGAACTTGTGATACAGATGGTCGTTGATTATGCAATACCATACTTGGCGATGCTTGACTCTTCGAGCAGTCACGGGGTCAGTCATGATCGTCCGGTCTCTTTTATAGCATAAGATCTCGTCCATCCAACTCAGCTCCTCATCGATTACGGAGATGTCACGCTCTTCAATGATTCCAGGCAACGTCTCGACCAACAGCTAGCCCTTCCCTGAAGCTTGGGCAAAGGCTAACCTGACGAGTGCATTAGCTTAGGTATTTCTGCACGAGGGACCATAACACGTTAAGTCGGGAGAAGCTACAAGCTAGCCTCCATACCACGAATACCACGATAAGGTACTTCGCCATGGTTGCGTCTCGGGCTTTGTAGCTCCCCTCAACCTAGCTGATAATCAGTTGCAAGCCATTGAACATTGTTTGCATGTCTGCTTGCACTTACTTAAAATCATTACCACTTTGGCAATATATTGGTTGGTCCTTTGGAGCACCTCGGGTACCATTGTTGGTGGCCTTTCCACCAATAACCAAAAAAAGCGAAAAGGCTTGAGCCCCATTGTGAAGACTTGTACTACATGTAATAGATGGGCTTCTTGTACGTCTCGGATCTTATTAGTGAATTGAGTGACGAAGTTGGAAAGTATTTCTTCCTTCCATTGTTTAAATCCGAGAAGTATTATCATTGATGGCCTCATGCATAAATTCCCAAGGAAATATAGCTCAAACTCCTTTGTGACCTAAGTTAGATCGAGAGTAACTTCAAGTGAGTGTATTATTTTCGTGTCGGGCCTCTTAATATTATTGGAAAGACGTAACACATTCTAAAGTATCATAGAATGATATCCGACAAAGACACTTGAATATAATAAGAAAGTAACAATAAAAAAAAGAGAAGAGGGGTTGAGAAGATAATTAAGATATATAATTATTTTATTATATAAGTGATATTGATGTTTTGGTTTATACCTTAAATTATATTATTAAATGATATTTCTTTTTTATTTAAAAAAAATAAATTAATTAATAAAGATGTCAACTTTAAATATTTAGATCAAATCTCATCCTCATCCTTTATTCTTTGTGAAAAAAAAAATTCTTATAATGAGATTTATAAAAGAGGGGCGGAGGGGGAAGAGATTATAGCTTTTGTTGTGTTTGGTTAAATTCCGCTTCATGGGTTCCGCCGACCACGTGAGTTCTGTTAGCACAGACTGACGCCTTCCACATCAATGATAAGAAATAATAATGAGTCTCTCTCTCTCTCTCTCTCTCTCTCTCTCTCATCCTATCCATCTCGAGATTCGTTCTGTTTGCACATGTCAACTTGCATCCTTCCCAGTCTCCTCTTTTATCTTATCCATCAACTCCCATTATTACTCCATTGGAACATCATGAAGCAGCTCTTCTCCTCCTTGTCATTATTTACAAAATAAAAATTAATTTTATCCAAAAACTTAGCTTGATGGATCAGCTGATTTAGTTCAAAAAAATTATTACATTAAATAATGTACATGATGTCCATACCTAAATTTGAATATGATATCTATCATTTATACAACAATGTACCGATCTTCACTTCTAACCAATCAGATTTAGTTGACCAAATTTTGGATCACCTAATCACTCGAATTGCATTTTCTTTATCATTTTTTTCTTTTTTCTATAGAAATTTCTCTTTCTTTTAATTATCAATAGAAGTGATTTATTCCTTTTCATTTTAAACTAACCCTCCAATAATCAACCTGCCACGTACAGGGAGGTGGGCGCCGACTTGAAACATCGATCGGGGTCTCTCCCACGGAAGAATGCTTAGCGACACCGCCGCCTTCTCATGGCATACGTGACGGCGCGTTTCCTCGCCCGTGCTCCGGGGAGCGGCCGCGTCCCTGCGGCCTTGCGATCCGCCTCCACCCGGCTGCACGATGGCCCGATACGGCAGGCTGAGGCGGCGGCGGCGGACCGGTTCGACCTGAAGGCGTACATGGTCGACAAGGCCCGGCGGGTGGACGCGGCCCTGGACCGCGCTGTGCCCCTCCGCTACCCTGAGCGGCTCCACGAGTCGATGCGCTACTCCCTTCTGAGCGCCGGCAAGCGCATCCGCCCTATCCTCGCTCTCGCCTCCTGTGAGCTCGTCGGAGGCGATGAGGCCACCGCCATGCCCGTCGCCTGCGCCGTCGAGATGCTGCACGTCATGTCCCTCATCCACGACGACCTCCCATGCATGGACAACGACGACCTCCGCCGGGGGCGGCCGTCCAACCACCGTGTCTTCGGCGAGGGCACCGCCGTGATCACCGGCGACGCCCTCATCGCCCTGGCCTTCGAGCACGTGGTCGCCGCCACGGCCAGCGTGCCGGCGGATCGGGTCCTCCGGGCCGTCGCGGAGTACGGGTCGGCGATGGGGCCGGAGGGGCTGGTGGCGGGCCAGTTTGTGGACATCGACAGCGAGGGCAAGGCAGTGGGCGTCGGCGTGCTGGAGTACATCCACCTGCACAAGACGGCGAGGCTGGTGGAGGCGGCCGCGGCGTGCGGGGTGATCGTGGGCGGCGGCGGGGACGCCGAGCTCGAGAGCGTAAGGCGGTACGCGCGCTGCGTCGGCCAGCTGTTCCAGGTGGTGGACGACATACTGGACGTGACGAAAACGACGGAGGAGTTGGGGAAAACGGCCGGGAAGGACGTGGCGAGCGGCAAGACGACGTATCCGAAGCTGATGGGCCTCGAGAAGGCGCAGGAGCTGGCACAAACCCTGGTGGTGAAAGCGGAAGCAGAGCTGCATGGGTTCGACCGCGTCAAGGCGGCGCCCCTGCGCCATCTCGCTCGCTACATCGCCGATCGCCAGAACTGAAGTCGATGCTCCACTTTTAGGTAATCCCGTCTCTTTATTTGCAGGACAGCAATTAAAAATCTGATCTAAAGAGGTTTTCTATGATTCGACTACATTTCTCAAACACTTTCATCTGATTCTATAATCCTCTTCTCCTTCTTCTACTCGGATAAAACTACCGGAAGATTGAACCATACATCCTCTCTGCTTTCATTCTTCCACAACTCCAGAAGAGTAGCAATTACTTAATATGTCGATGCTATATGAGAACACCCACAAGCTTGATTATTTATTTGTACATGGAAACCAAACCTATGCATAAGTTGACCAGACGAGAAAAGCCTAGTTGATACTTGCAAGTTAAAGACAGATGTAATGGTACATAAGATTCCATGAGAGAAGGATCGATACAGACAATATATATCATTAAACTGTTGGTGCTGTCATGAGGTAGAAGAAGACCAGAGTCTCTCTGGGCCTTCACTTGCAGTCAGCTTCCTTCAGCATCTCTCCTTTTACATCAACAAGGAGAAGCTATTTCTTTTTGATAGTTTCAGTACAGAGAATGAGAATAATGATGGTTCACCTCCTTCATTGTGCTTGGTGATGATGATGTGCTGCTTCCAACACACAAAAAAGGCAGGATATATTACATTCCACTTGCACCAAATATTTAAGATGAAACAAGCATTTTATTATTATTATTATTATTTCTTGTGAAGCTATATCCCCAGAAGAACTGCTTGCTTCCTCACAAGACTCTGCTCGTTCATCTTCCCGGAATGGATGATCCACTATATCGGCTTCTTGAGCTGTCATATCCAGATTGTACAGTTCCAGGTCCACTCATGATATCCTGAAATAAAAGATGAGCTCTTCATAATACTTCTTATTTGCTGATGTTATATGTTAAGGAATCACAACTATTTCCTGTTCGGATTGCACCTTTCTTTCGTCCCGGATAAAGCTAGTCGACAAGATAAGAGAACATACTTGTGTGGAAACTTGACTGTGGATAGGTGAGGTGTATGAACCAGTCCCAAACGGGGAGAACTGCATGTTCTCCTCTGCGAGATCTCTGAGTCTGTTGAGCTCCGGCAGTATGGCCGTCGCGAGATCCGGCCGATCCTTGCGTCTGAGTTCCGCACACTTGAGTGACATCTTGGCTAAGCTTAGAGCTTCCTCCACCGGCCAATCCGGCACCGAGTGATCCAACATTTCTATGAACGTCCCCTTCTCGATCGAACGCTCGACATGGTGTGTCAGCCCCATGGGAGGTTTGCCGGTGATGATCTGCAGCAGCATGATCCCAAGAGAGTATATGTCGGACTTGATGCCGAGCATGCCGGTCTGCTGATACTCCGGATCGATGTAGCAGAACGTGCCGGCGGTGGCGGTCATGCGATACTGGGTGACGGTGTCGGCAACGGAGGGGGGGACCAAGCGGGCGAGGCCGACGTCGCTGATCTTGCTCACGTAGTTCCTGTCGAGGAGGATGTTTGCAGGCTTGAGGTCTCTGTGTACCAGCGGCTCCGGCCTGGTCTGGTGCAGGAAGAGGAGGCCCGTGCCGATCTCCGCCGCGATCCGGAACCTGTGCTGCCAAGGGATGGGTGGTGTGTTACCTCGCCGGAACAATCGATCGTCCAAGCTCCCATTTGCCATGTACTCGTACACAAGGCAGCCGTATTCCGGGCAAGCGCCCAGCAGCAGAACCATGTTTGGGTGCCGAATGCAGCATAGGATTTCAACCTGTTCACGCAAAAGATGATCATACAAACAGAGATCGAGGAAGAGTTCAATTAGACTTGGGATCACCGAGTTGTGGTCTTCTCTGGATTTCCTACCTCTTGCTGGAACTGTGACCTTCCTTGGGCGGCATCTGGACGTAGTACCTTAATGGCAACAGGCGTATGATCCAGAGTGCATCTGTAAACAGGGCCATAGCCACCTTCTCCTATCTTTCTCTCCTCTGCAAAGTAGTCGGTGGCTACCTCTATCTCCTCGATCGTGTACCTCCTGTACCTGAGGTTTGTATGGGACAAAGCATCGAAAGCCTTCTTCTTATCCTCGGCGTCTTTGAATGCCTTCATCTCTGCACTGATCCTCTTGTGTGCTTCGTTTTCCGCGATCCTTTTTGATGCCTCGGCCGTCTGTATCGCTGCCACACACCTTGCTTTCTCGCTCTCCGCTAAAGCCAGAGCTTCTTCTTCCGCCAATCGAGCGTCTTTGATTCTTTTCTCTTCGTCCATCTTCCAGCGTTGGAGCTCCATCGTCTGCAGCGGAAATCGTCGTCTGAAAACGAGTCCAGATTCGGGGAACGGTGAGGGAAGGTTACCTTCTGTTTAGCTGTGAGTGCTTCTTTGCATGCTGTGCTGTACATGTCCATGGTCTGCTTGAGCTCTAATTTCAGCCTCCTAATCTCTGCTTCCACATCCTCCTGCGAGCTCCATGGTAACACGCATGTCGGTTAACCAGGTACAGATGCAACTATGGCTTCAGACTACTTCCTTGTAGCGAGTAAATGTCATACCATGTTCTGAGATGATGAGCTCTCATGAGACACGGAGGAGAATCCATTGGCGGATGAGACTGCGCCCACCGACCTGCGTGGTGACTCGAAACTGCGCTCGTAGCTGTCTGAAAGATTTGACAACCTCGGAGGGTAGGAGCGTTCGCTTGACCTGCCGCTGCTCACGAATGAGACATCGCTGTCCGCCATCGACTCTCCATATGATCTCGTAGTCGAAGCACGTCCTCCCCTGGTAAAAGGGGACCTAATCGAGGCAGACAAATCTCGTGTTCAGCATCATCTTGTTCACATGTATGAGCTCCAAAGGTTTGTTTGGTGATGAGAACTCTTACTTTATCGATTCATTATCTTTCTGCAGATTCCACGGAGTCAATGCAGCATCACTCGGCACCGGACCTCTCGTGCCATTCTTGGCGTTCTGGCTTAATGTATCGGGTTTAACACTTGCTTGGCCTTGGATTTGATTCCGGAGAAGAGAGACAGGCGGAGGTGGCCGGACGGCATTCCTCATCGAGGAGACCTTCCCCTTGGAGATGATGTACACACTGCAGAAATCTGGCACACCTTTGCAGATGGTGGTACTGAGGTCTGTGCTCCTGAATGATCTGAGAGGGAAGATGATTCGACTCTCAGAGATCTTCGATTAGTCCAAGAATTGCTCCAGTAATTTAAGCTCACCTAACGAATCCGCTTCTTGATGATGAGCCAATCACAAGCTTTTCGACCGCGGCGTTGGTGACGAACTCTGTGATCGCTTTGGCAACATCAGTGTCTTCGAGCACCACATCTTTGCATTGTACCTATTAAGGATCACTCGGATGCTAACTATCAGTTTTGATGACACAAGTATGAGATTTCGGAACACGGCGGATTCAATTTCATGAACATAACCCACAGTCAACTGGGAGCTGTTCCGAAGAGGATCAGCAGAAGAACTTGCATACATTGTGAATCTTCTCGGGTCATCGGGCAACTTCCTTTCACCAGGGGAAATCTACTCGAAACATGTTCTTATCCTAGTTTGAAGAGGATCGTTGGATGATTTTGAGATGCTGCTTCAGCAATAGGACATGGAATATAACCTCGAGGTTTCTTAGCAGCAACTAAATATTTTGCTTGCCGGAAAAGGAACAGCAGATTCTTCACTGATTCTTCATCAGTGAAGTGGACAGAGTGTTGCATTCTCTCGTTTCCAAATCTCATAATTAATCATTCAAACAGGAATTTTAGCTTGCTTTAGATGTTCATGTTCCTGAATGCAATCTGTTGACTACATTTTTAGATTACGAAGAATCAGCTAAGATGTGAGATTAGATGAAACACGACTCACATTCTTTCGGGTGCAGAAACATCGAAACGGGACGAATATTTCCCTGATCGTGTTGGCAACAGCGGCAGCGTCATCTTCGTAACCCGCTGCATCGCATGGAAAAGAGAAGGAACAGTCAGGAATGCCAAAGATCTCTTCGTTCATGGGTGGAGGACGAGCCAGCTTGCTTACATGAGGGCTTGGTGTTGACATGGACGAGGGTGAGGGTCTGGCCTTTGGTGACGACGTTGTCCAGAGCCCATTTGAAAGCACTCTGGCTGTTCTTGTCCTTGTCGATGGCGACCGCAACCAGCGGGGACGCCGCACCGTCTGGCTTCTCCCTCTGCGACATCCCTCTCTGCATCGTCACAAACGGCTGGTGCCCATCACCTTAGCACATCAGGATCGAGAAGAAGCTCTTCGGAATGGACATGAGAAGATACGGGGCGCTCACCTCCGCCGGTCTCTGCGACGGGCTAACCCCTCTTCCCCGGAGAGGCACAGGAGGCGAAGGCTGAGGTGAGATGGTCGTCCTCTCTCTCTCTCTCCCTCTCTCTCTCTCTCTTCGTCTTCCTCCCTCGTTTCTGCTCAAATCTCTTGCGTGGTTTTGATCCTGAGGCGCAGAGCGAGTATAGGGGGGGGAAGTCCTGTTTCAGTTTGACTCATTGACCGTCAGGGCGGACGCGTTGACCAGGATTTGTTTTGGAGGCGTTGGATTCTGCAGCAGTTGGGATTGTTACAGTTGTACGGCACCGGACGATGTGCGGGAATTGCCCCGAAATAGGACGAATTGGATTTGGTAGCCGATTTCGACTAGCTTTGGTGGTTAAGACATGCGAATCTCTTTTGGCAAGCGGTAGATTTGCATTCCCTTATCAATGCAGTATGTTTGCTTCTTTCCGACCTACGGATAACTAACGAGCATTGGGTGAATGATCTTTTTCTTCAAGTGATTATTAATGAAGGTGGGTATTATTTATCCTCCGTGAGGTCATTTCTGCTGCACACCAATAAGAGATGTTCTTCATGTCTTTGAGAACATAACATATATCTAACACAAAAAAAAGGACAAGTCGAATTCGAAATCAAACAAATCAATGCTCCAAATGGAAATGCAAATCTCCTCAGTTCTTAGGAGAAGAGAAGTCGTCATCGGTCAAGGCTTTGGAAGAATAAAAGGCTTCACCCTCGCTAATGGCCGAAGAAGAGAACTCCGCGTCGCTCTCTCGTTCCTTCAGCTCTTCGATCCTCTCGAGCGCTGCCGCCATTTCGCACCTCCTGCGAACGTCGGTCTCGCAGCACGCCATGGCTATCCGCAGCAGCTTCAGCATCTCACCTTCGCTGTTCCTCGTCCCCTTCATGGTGCCGTCGAACACTTCGCCGGTCCACTCTTCCCTGATCACCGAGCTCACCCATTTCGCCAAATCCGTGCCTGCTCGTCCCGGCCTCAGATGATTTGCCGGAAACCTGCCGGTTAGTATCTCGAGCATCAGTATCCCGAGGCTCCACACGTCGCTCTTCGTGGACGGTTTGCCGTGCTGGGCGCACTCCGGGGACTTGTAAGCCACCATCAACTCCGACGCATGAGCCTTGTTCATCACAGGCGCCAGGGCGTAGTCCGTGAGGATGGGCTCAAAGGAGAGATCAAGCAGCACGTTCGAGGACTTGAGGTGGCCATGGGGAACGGTAAGCATCGGGAGCTCCTCGTACAGGTAGGCGAGGCCTCTCGCTACACCTTTGATGATCTTTAAGCGCGTTGGCCAATCCAGTGGTGATGTTCTTGAAGTGCGATTCCCTGCAGTTCGTGCTCATCGCATATTTTATTTGGATCATTGATAGGTATTTTGGAATGTCTATATCTAAGATAAGAAATGGCATGCAATGGGGTTCGAGTGGTTTACCATATAGCATGTGAGCTAAGCTTCCATTAGGGATGTAGTCGGAGATCAACAGCTTCTCCTCCTTCCTGTAGTAGTAAGCCACCAAAGGCAGAAGATTAGGGTGAGACAATCTCCCCAGCCTTCTCATGTGCTCTTGGAAGTATTCTCTCCCCACTCCATTCATCTCCTTGAACCTCTTCACCACCACCGAGGGGCCATCGAGCAGGATGGCTTTGTAGGAAGAGCCAAAGTTTCCGCTGCCGAGAACCTCAGCTGAAGCCCTGAGTAAATCCTGTAGGCCGAACGTCCCCCTCCTCTCCCCGACGAACAACAGCTTCTCCTCCTTCGGCACCTTCTTCTCCCCCTCGTGATACCTTACTGTTCCCAGCCCCATCCCGTCTGCCTCCAAATGGACCGTCGTTTCGGGTTTAACGGATCGAAGCTTGTTAACCGTTGTAGCCTCTTTTTTCCGGCGCCGGAAGAGGAAAGTAGTCGCTCCCACGATCGCCACCAACGCTGCAACTGATATCACTATGACGACGACGAGAAGAGCAGGCGAGAGATTCTTCTTCGGTGACTCGCATGAGACCGCAAGCGGTGGGCCGCAGAGATTCTTGTTACCTGTTGAGGTGAAACAGAGTCGGGTGTCAGAGTTTGGAGTCCGCGACGCTCTTCATTTAGGAAAAGGGAAGACTGACCTTCGAACCAACTGGCACTCATATTGCTGAGCCTTTCCGGGATCGGCCCCTCCAGATCGTTAAAGGAGACGTTCACCAGCTGCAGATTGGGCTGCCATAGAGCAGGGATTTGGCCCTCGAACTTGTTGCCATCCAGCCGCAGCTCGGCGAGCTTCTTCGGCGCCGTCAGAGAACTCGGAATCGACCCCGAGAAGTTGTTCTGCGACAGCCACAACACCTTCAGCCCCAGCATCGCCGAGAACATGCCGTCCGGTATCTCCCCGGCGAACCGGTTCATCGACAGGTATATAGACTTCAAATTGGGCAGCTTCGTGACGTTCGGGATCGACCCCTCGAGGCTGTTGTTGCTGAAGCTAAGCGAGCGAAGGTTCGGTAATTCTGAGAGGGCGTCGAGGGTCAACGTGCCCGACAAGTTCATGCTCTCTAGCCGCAGAACGGACACTCTCCCGTCTTTGTCGCAGTAGACTCCGGTCCATTTCGACACGTTATTGATGCACGGGCCATCCTGCCCGCCCCAGTCGCTTGGAGCCGGAGACAGCGTCGTCTCCTTGAACTCGAGGAGGGCGCTGCGGTCGTCCGGCGCATCGGCGGCGGCCCGCCATGTCGCGAGGAAGAGGAAGAGCACGAGGAGGAGGTGCGGCGGCCATGGCGGGGACTGGTCGCCCATGGCGCAGTGGTCGCGATTGGGATGGGGAACGTGGGCGCATGGTTATGGGGGAAGGAGATGGACGAGGACAAGGGTGGACGTGAAAGACTAGGAATGGTGACAAGAACAGGGTGAACAAAGTCAACCTGGCTCGAGATGTTCACCGAGAGATCAATGGCCGGCCCCTAAAATTGGAATCCGTAGCGTAAGAAAGCTTCTACTTGGTCTAATAATACAGTTCTTTAAATGTGTATGTTGTTGTGATTTGGCTTTCTTCTTCTTTGTAATAGAATGTTATAACACCAAGGAACAGCATTTGTCACATAGCCAAGCATGGAAATGAATAATACCATGACAATGAGTGGAATATACTACATCTGTTGTCTCCTAATGAGATGAAATCAATGAGCAGGAGATATTATAGTTCATGATGAAGATATAAAGAGAGAGATGAGAAGTGAAAATGCACATGTTGATTTTTGAAGACAGAAAATTCAAGAGTATATAGCTGTCTGTCTATGCAAATCTGGTATAATTATAAATTATATAATGCAATAAAGTTTATTGTAAATTGCAAATTACTTGTAAGAATGGATTACAGGCATCCTTCCAGCAGCAGAGACCAGAATTTCACAAAAAAAAAGAAAAAAAGAGAGAGATCCAAAGTTGGCATTACAGTATATATAAAGCTTAGAACACAGTGGAGGCTGTAGTTCCTCTTATGATATTTCCAGGTCTAATATTTTACCTGAAATTGCCTCTTTTTCCAAGAGAATCTCATAATCATCTTACTTTGACTAAACAATCTTTAAGCAACACAATGCAATCAACTCTCAGTCAGTCAGTCAGAATTTGATGTATGCTGTAAGTAGATCATAAATCAGAGGACTAAGAGCATTGGTCATAAAGCCACTCATAATAACGATATCGAACGGAATGGTCTAGTGCAACAATGAATTATGTAACAATAGGCAATAACCTCTTGAACATGTCAGCGACATTACCAAGTATTACTTGAAACATTTCAGCTTCTTCATGGTGGGTACTAGTGAAACAATAGAACTAAGACCAAAGGAGTCAGAACTGAAAGATAAAGTCAATTATTCATCTGCCACTCAAATGGATCTCCATAAAAGCTGGTAGAGAACTCCATTTCTGCTAGAGATCACCAGTGAAAGGAAATAAGGGAAAAGAAAATAAAAGTTTGATTTTCCCTTTTCTATTCTTTTCCCTTTTTCTTAGAATGGCCAACAAATTGTACAACTGCTTCGGTAATACTAGCAATCCTACTCAGCAGCTTTCACAATGCCTACTTCACCAAACCTAGTCATTGGTCATTCTGAACATCAAGTGGTTTGCAGTCTGCACAAGAGGCTTATACTCCTGGATAATGCTAGCTGCTAGTTGTTACAGTTGTTGCTGGTTTCTCTATACTATCACTCTTGGAAGTAACAACAGTGCTTAGGGAACTACTCTTCTCTGTTGATGGGCCAGATTTACTTCTTTCTTCCAACCTGACAGCATGAGCAAAGTTCCCTGATATCTGGCTTATGAAATCCCCAGAGTTCGCAGCAGGGTTCCTTCGATCATCTTCAATAGCTACTGGGCCAGGCGCTGCCAAATTGGATAGCTGCTGACGAGCCTTCCTCTCCTGCATAGCTTTCTCCCTGTCCTCGTAAAACTCAAAGTCATCTAGAATCGATACTTCGTATTCATGCTTCTTAAAAATGCTTAGCATCTCCAAACCCTGTTCCAATTTCACCTGCATTTATTCAAACAAAATATCAAGTCAAACATTTTTTTTTAAAAAGGAAAACAAGTTAGTAGACTGGATAAGTATGTGAAATTTTCAAATGCCAAAAAAATGAAAAAAAAAAAAATGCAAAACGCATAACTAAAACAAGGCGAGCACTGAGTTGAATAATGAAATAGAAAAATCAATTTAATCAACAGACTAATGCTCCACATGGTGATTGAGATTTGAGAAAGAACAGACCAAAGAGATTCAACCTTTAAGCACAATACAACCATCTCATACAACTGTCTTAATGGATTTCAATCTTGACTAGATTCACACCTCCATTTATGGGACTCGATGAATAATTTTAAAAGTTCAACTAGTTAGAAATACTATGAACAATAAACCAAACAATCCCAGAACTGATTTATTTCATTCCTTTAACTTTGACCTTTAACTGACTCTATAAATGTCATCTGCTACTCCATAGGAAAATTCTAATATCAGCATGCTTACTCCAAAGTATAAAGTTCAAAATTGTTGACAAGTTTGCCTTGAAATAAAATCCCTATGGTTCTGTCTACCAGCTTAAAACTTAGCATGAGCTTGTCAGATGAGCACTGACCTCTCTATCTCCATATCCATGCAGAGTGAACTTTTGTCTAACAGCACTATTTAGAAAAAGGAAAAAAAATGGCTGCGGCCTAGAGATGGCTAACATTAAAATGTTGGCTCCATGCAGAGATGACTCGAAGCTAGTCTCACTATTTGCAAAAAAGATGGAAAAATTGGTTAGATACCCAAGGACTCAGTCTAGTGCATTTAGAAGAATTTATGACAGTTGCACAATTCTACGATCCTGTATTTGAAAAATAAAAGATAATAACTTCCAATGAATGAGGGGTGAAAAAGAGGGGAAAGGAGACAGAAAGGTGACAAGAAGATGATGTAAGGAAAGCAAGAAAAATTCCTTCACCCAGAGTATTAGCACAGCAAAAAAAGCACAACCACAGCTTAATATATCGGATGCAGATTTAATATGCACATAATCCGGAATAATGATATATCATTATATTTCATCAGATCCATATGGCAGTTACTAGGATGTTCAACATGGACTTGATAACCTCTTTGGCAAATGATTTTAAAAGAAGTCAATACAAGCAATTTAAAGTTCCAACGTGGTAGTTATATACTTTTATATTATAGATCAAGTGCTAGGACTCAACAGATATTCAAAATCTTCGTGACCACTCGAACAGTGACACCAGAAACTAGATCGCTATGATGAAACTTCAGCCTGAATCCATGAGAACTATTGAAGTAAGCATTTTGGATAATAAGATGGATCACCAACCATGAATTGGATTCTCAATCAGTGAAGCAAGACCCTAGGCACCAAACCCAAGTTAAGCGCTCAAGAGATACAATCAGAATAGGTAGTCTAGCTTCTATATTCATGGTATATTAAATATTTCAAGTTGACTAAATGAGTAAAAAAAATAACATAAAGCTGATGTACTTGAATTAAATAAAACAAGGTTCATCATACAATGACATACCATTCGGTACAGGCAGTATGTACTCGTCCAATAGAGGATCGGTATGGGTGGTACATACCAGTCCATCAATACACCCCCACCATACCATGTGTTGATACTTTGGTACATATTGTACCAACAGCCGGTTGGTATACCGGTATGGATCGGTAAGATGAACCATGAAATAAAGATCTGAATTATTTAAAGGAAAAGGCTTACGATACAAAAATGGGAACACGATATCCATGAAAAGATCATATAGGTCGGTACCTGTTGTTATTAAATTTTTATTAATTAACCTGTAATACCAGGGAGTACAGTTTGTTATACAGCCCCTCATACCAGTATCATTCTAGTTCGACTGGCTGTCATTGGAATGTATATTTAAATTTTCGGTCTATGATAACTTCTCGTTAGGCCTAATGCCTATAACCTCGGCTGAGGTACTAATCATAAAAAAATAACCTGACTACTACTACATTCCATCCTACCATTGGTCTTATCATCCCAAATTCTAACAATAAATCTCAAGAACTCCATCTTTCTTTAGCAAATCTCTCAAGTTACACTCTCATGGACAATTGATATCCAACATAAACAGGTTTGCTGACTCCTTCATATATTTATAATTAAGTCATGTTTTACAAATTTGAGTTGCTAATTAAACTAATTTTAAGGGAATTTTCACATGACACAATTAATTCAAGAGTAGCTACACATAAACTGTCTGTATAATCACGGTTCATATCAAAAGGAAAAAACTTACCTCTTGAGTGTCTCTGCTGTTGGTGACAGGCTTATTTTCATTGTTTTCAAGAATAATATGCCGAAATAGATTGTTTGGTACATCTTTCACCATATGCCACTTTAAAGGGAATTGACCACTCCACTTGTCTTGCTGCCAGTAATCCACACTCCTTTCAAAATCAACAGGTCCAATCATTTCAGCTACCCCACAGAAATGTGCACTTGCATTTACCTGTTCATGGTTTTCTTGTGTGAACAAAACTAATTAGATATTGACAAATTACAAATCAGAGAGTAAATGGGATATAAGTAAGAAATTACCGAGAAAAATAAGAAAACTGGACAAGGATCTTCTTTCTTTTTTGCTTCATGGTATGCAGAATCCAACTTCTTGTTCCCATTAGAAGTGCTAGCCCAAACACCATACTTAATGCTTTTGTGAACATTATCCTCACTGTAAGACTTAATAATGAAAAACTTGGCATCCTTGTACTCTGTAACAAAGTCAGCACTATTGTACAATTTACGATCAACCAACGAAGTAGAACTGAAATTGTCATTGTCAAGTGATGAGTTGTGTTCAGTCATCTGATTCTTTAATCTATTTGCTCTTGGCCCTCGGTTTTGTTCATTAAGAAAATCAAGAGTGCCATTGCGATTGCATAAAGTTCCCTTGCCTCGACTCCTACTTCTGTCTGCATCAATTAAGCTCTGGTCCTTAATTCCTGAGCTGGAAAAAGATGCCTCAAAGGTGCTACCATGGTACAGCCCACGAGGGGGGTACGCTCTGTCTATAGAATTCACAGAGGTCCCAAAACCATATAAAGATCTCTGTTGTTGTGAAGCCTGAATGTAATTAGACAATAAAATGAATATACTGAATGAAAAACAAATCATTAGGTCAGAACATTTAAAACAATAACACAAACTGCCATGTACAATGCATAAATCCAGCCTTGCAGCCTAAAGGTACATCCAGTAAAAGGATACACATTTTGTTCTCTGGTGAACTAATGGATGATGAGGGAATTGATTTAACTCATACCTAAATTTAACTAATGCAAACCAAGTAAAAGCATTGCCAATTCAGATCTGAAGACTGAAAAATATTAAAAAACTTGACCACTGCCTTTAATAAATAAAAGGCCAGTATAACCCCACTAATAGTCAAATGACTAAATCCTTATCAAGGCAACTCATTTCGTAGCATGAAACCAAGCAACAAATGTGACTAATTTTCTCAGTGAAAGCATTTATAAAAGATATGTTACATCTAAAATCTATATCGAGTTTTTTCCTTCTTTTTTGGTTGAAGCTCTGGCAATCAGAACATAGAAAAATGGTAACTAATATAGCTAATATGACAGTATGTAAAAGCATGAATATGGCAAAAGCTATGTCCTCAAGGAAAGCAGGCCGAATCATTCTGTAAAACAGAAAGTAGGTTGAATCATTATGTAAAACACTTCTAGTCATATGAAGGCCGCATTTGATTCACAAACTTCTTAAAACATACTTATTTGTGGTACCATGGTAATCCGCACTACGTGCAAAATACAATGATCATAAAGAAAATAATTTATAGGAACTGATGTGACCAATTAGATTAATCTTAAAGTCTTAGAATAAGCTGCTTAATGATTATCTTCTACCTTTCTCTACTTAAATGTATGCATCCATCTTTCCATCTATGTTGTTGCAAATCAAAGGCAATCAAATCCAATTGCCAGCAATTATTGGTTTAAAATACAGTACATTGTAAAAGAAACAAAACCATAAGTATGTCTTTGGAAAGTCACAAAACATAAAATGAATACAATTATAAATTTAGAAGAAAAAAAGAGTAGTATTTTATGAAATAGAAGATGCTCACAAACTAAGATAAAAAATAGAGCAGATCAGAAAAAACAACCATTCCAAAAGTTGGAGGCATGGTGTTTTGCCCAAATGACACTGGGGCACCAACTGGTTGAGGTGAAGCTGCTGGTGATAATAATGGAGTCACAGTCCTCGTCCCTTCTGGGGATCTCAACCAATCTAACCAAAATCAACCATTAACAGAAAAAACCATCAAATATTGTTGCATATAACAAAAACCAGAATTTTCTGAATTGCCAGCAATATTACCTCTACCAAAAGAACCATAGGATAGCTGATAACCAGGTCTTGGTCCAAACAGCTGGGTGTTGAAATTTTGGGTATTGACAGGAAATAGTCCTTGTCGATCAATTGGCAATGTCAAATCAGCTTGTGGTATTGAAGTTGGCGAAGGCAGATATGGCATGTTAGGAGGAGCTGGCTGCTGGTAGTATGTGCCTGGGAACTGAAATTGCTGAGTGGAGTATAGTTGACCATCTCCACTAATAGAAGGTAGAGGCGTCGTAACAGGGGAATAGGGTCCATAAGGCATTTGAGGACTGTACCCATATCCAGTATGATATAAGAATGAAGGATTCTCATTGTAGACACCCTACAATAAAATAGAACCTTATACGATTTAAAAGAAAATAAATGGTAACAAGACGGTCGATATTAAAAATACTGATACATACAACCGAACCAACTTCTAGGCCTTCGGCATTTAAATATGGAGAGTACTCATCACCAATCGGATTGTCATATCCTGAAACAATAGGACATGATCAGACATGTTTGTATCCAATTTCAGATTTCATAATCAAATAACTCAGAAGTTAGATAGGGAAAAAGAACATTGACGTAACTAGAAAAAAAATGCAAACCCAACAAAATCTGGACCATTTTATTTGGATGCAAAGTAGAAGTTAAATGAACTGCAAATGAAGGTGAGCTGCCAAACAAGAATGGAGGCAAACAAAGAATCTAATTCTGATAAATAACTACAAGTAAAGAAATAGAGAAGCCACAAAGGATTATAACACTTCATCATAAAGCAAAAGTTAGAAATTTCATCCAATGGAAAAACTCAAGCAAGCAACTGCTAAGGAAGAAACATGTGCATATCATCATACAATTTTGAAAAGAAACAACATTTGGACAATTGCAATGCATATTCAAATTGCAAGAGTTAATTGATTCAATAAAACTTTTGAATATACAGAAAATTCCAAGCTTGTCATAGAGATGATGATGATGCTGCATATAAATTTGCCAGAAACTAATGCTAACATGATGTATAAATGAATATAAGGATGGAAAACTGACCTCTAAAGAAGAAGGACTGTGCCTGAGGGGCAAAAAGGTTTGGTGGATAAATTGTACTGTGGCCACTAACTGCATCGGAAGAATCCAAATGGCCTTGTGAATCTGCTGAGTGATCCATGATATTCGTATCATGGGTGGCATTAGAGGTCATCACTTTCTCATCTTTATCAGAAGGTGGCTGATAGAAGATGAGATAATTATCAATAACTGGAAGTTGGACATAAGAAAAGAAAAGTATATTGAGGCCATGAGGAAGTAATTACCTGTTCATTTGAGTTCTCAACATCAACAGGTTTCTGGTTATCATCCGCAATTGATGATTCCAAAGGTTCTAGTGAGTCTACTAGCAGAGAGTAAAGAACAAATTAGTTTAACTATGTAGAAATGGGAGCCAAGTGCAACTACAATGCAGGTGCAATGGTGCATGACTGCATGTACATATGTTTTAGATTCATTTGAACAGATATGTATATTCATATCTGTATGTAAATACATGCAAGCTTATGCATAGGTAAACACAACTGTCATGTCTATATAGTAAAAATTACATATAAATAAACATATGTACATATTTAACATAAACTCGGTATAGCATCTATATATGTATATATAAAACATTAAACCCCTCTTCGCACACAAAATCAGAAAATTGAAGGTCAAAAAACAGAGCATATCTGTAAATAGCAGACAGAAGTACTAATTTAAAGAGCACGAAATAATTTAACACAATATGTTCGTGCATTATTAAATATTTAAAATATCTGGAACAGTACTCTGTAAGCAGCAGAATTTTCAATTGCAGTATATCAAAGTTCTCAATTTAACCACTAAATCATGAAAAGATACACATATTACATGAAAGAAATGATAATTCAAAGCTCTTTCTAAAGCTGAATGTAAGAAGCATCAATAACCTGAAATAATGAACATCAACACCCAAGGCCGCACAAGAGTAATGATATCCTAACTCAAGAAGTGCTCAACCAAATGCCAAAAATGTTTGAGCTTGCAACAAGGGCTTGATTTGTTTGATCACCATTGTACGACTCAACTAAGTCATTTGACAGATTTAGATATCAAAGAGAAGTTGAATATAGATTAAATCAAAATGTTTATGTTGAGCAGAACCCAACACTTTCTAAGCTTAGAATGTCCAAGACATCACTAGATTCACTCTCTAGGGTAACATTAAGGGGACTTCAAGTCACTAATGATCTCTTTCCTAAAAAGGCATAAAACTGTGTACATTAACACTTCCTAAACCTTGCATTGGGAAGACAATCACGCAATAGGCCACCTTTTTTTATCAATAAAGATATAATGAGATATTATTTCATATATAAAGGTCTAAGTATCAACTATTCATGATAAATCAAGACTTACAAATAGCCAGACATGTTTGTAAAAGATCTAATAAAGTAAGCAGAGTCAATTTAGATTTGAGGTTTTAAGACTAATAATAATAATAATAATAATACTTAACTAGTGTATTGCTTATAATAAAGCTTAATGGCAAACAAGAATCTGGGTAATAAATAATATGATTTTGTAATTGCATACAAATTGTTAAAGTAGATGAAGCATTTGATCTTCAACACAACCACAAAGGGAGACTTTGGAACACCAGATTTCTGGTTTCCAGCATGCTATAACCATAAAATACAAGATATGGAGACCACAATCTTGAAAAAAAAAAAAAGAGATTCATATTCTTAATTTAGCACTAAAGCTTATGTAAGTCATGGCAACACCAAATTCCTACTATCCTCGTGGATCAACCCATGTCGCAGGTCAATGCAAACTCCCTCTAGTCTACTACATACCACGAGAAACACAAAAATTATCTAAATTATACTAAAAATTGAAAGGGAGATCTACTCAAATACCCCCAACAAAAATCACCAGACCACTCTCTCACTAGCGCTTCCAAGGTCACGAGAGACTTCAACTTACTCAATTCCTTAACCCGCACCGCCTAACCATCCACCCCCCAACAAAGAACAAGATTAGAACACAAGGATCAAGTCTTCAGCAAGAACTCTAGACCGAACCAACGCCCAAACCGCAAGAATCAAACCACGCCCCCATAAAGATCACACCTTTCCGAGTCGGACATGCGACAAGAGCGAACTCGGCGAGAAAACATCACAAGAAACGCATGAATCTGGTGAAAGAATCGGGGATACCGATACGATCCGGCGACTGCTGACTCGTCTCCATCTCCATCCGAGATCCCGAGGCCCGCCTTCTTCCAGAAGAAGTAAAAGGTAAATAATCTACGGCCCTCTCTTCCTCGATTCCCTTCCCCTTCCTTGTGATCTCGTTGGCAGCAACTAAGCAGCGCGAGGGATGGAGGAGTCTTTTGCTCCAAGATACGACTTGGATTGGGAGCGGAGAAAGCATACAGCCGCGGCCTTATTTATTCCACTTGAAGCCTTGAGGGAAAGAATATTATATTATATTATATTATATGTAAAAAAGCATTTTGTTATTATTATTATTATTATTATTTCTCCTTCTTTAATGTGATTTATTGTAATTTACATGTATTATAGGAGTTCTGTTAATAAATTTCTTATATATCTTTATTTATAAGCATTTATCCTTCCAACTTTTGGAATATTAGCTTTATTAGGAAAATAATGATTCTAATCTAAACAATTTTCGTATCCCTTAAAATTATTTTCTCATATTATTATATAAATTTCATAATACAAGTCTAAGAAAAAACTATTTGAATATACTTATACACACACACACAAACTTGGACTTCAAAATTCTAATTTGATTATACGGGAAAGAAAGTACATGAAAATTTCTTATCTTAATATTTAATCATATCTTTCTCTCTTCTTTCATCTAAGTTTGGATATCATTGTCATATCAAATAGGACCTAATCATCATATTATTAAAAGGTGCTAATCTATGATGGGGCTCACCCAAGCGTCAACCTAAGTGCTATTTGCCTTATTTAAGATTAGTTTACTTTCTTGCTTAGTTATTCTTGTTATTTCATAACCATGACATGAGGGCGAAAGAGAATATATATATATATATATATATATATAGTCATTTATGTACTGTTGTTGTTGTTTCACAACAACGAGAGGGGGGAGATGGAGACAATATTTGTGAGAGCCACTGTTGATATTTGTATTTGGTCTCTTTCTTGGACAGGGAGATGGTAGGGAGAAGAAAAAGGTTAGTGATGATGTGTGGATGAGACCTAAGGCTTATTAGTGGAATTGGATCCAAGTCCAGCTATTAATGGATCCGATCCAATTGGAATCCTTGGTCAAACTAAAGGACTACTCAAATTTATATATCTTTATCATAATTATTTAACTCAACTATTTTAATTTTGAATTTTATTTTATTTTATTTTTAAATAATACACCTTTGCAAGAATAAAAATTACTATCACTCATAAGTCATTGATATGAGAGTTTTTTTGAGTGGTTCATATGATTATATTACGAGTATTTATGATGAGCAGAATTTAATGATGAAAAAAAAAATCTTTATAATCGATTCTAAACCATTAGAACATTATGACTTATTATTGCTCTTGATTGATTGTAAGCTAAAAGTATATAACACTCAGCCTCGAATCGGCTCCACTAGACCATGGCTCATGAGGTATAAATAAGATGTAAAGCCATATTGTATGAACTATGAGATATCTATGTCGAAAAGATATCATCTCCATAAAATTAATCTTTTGTGATGTGTGTGATCAAAGTTCAAACCACCACAATAACATAATAGTCTCTGCTTTCAAGAATAAGATTGCATAAGGTATTAACTATCCTTCATTTTATTTAAATCCACTTACTGACAGAACAACTATTCTTGTAAAATGAAAAGACATTCAAACAATAATATTAGCAAACATAAACTTCTCAATTACTAACCTTCTTCTGATAGATCGAGCAACATTGACCAGTATGAGCTGACATATTCCAAGCCTGACCCAAGCAATCGACAACAACAATAAGCTATAATTGTTCTAATGGCTAGAACATTGTCTTGTTTCAACCACTAGAACACATTAGCCAACATACAATGACAAAAGGACTATTCTTGGTTTAATACACTTCTCAATGACTTATCTTCATCTGATGAATTGAGCAACGCTGATCAGTATGAACTGGTATCCCTGCTTCATCCAAGCAATCTTAGCTTGATTTCTTTTCTTTTTTGGAGGATGTTAATCTTGATGTTACAATAGCCAAGTAAAATAGAAAGAGCACTGCTTGTGATCACTTCTCTTCAGAAAGGAACTGTTAATATTAATTTCACCTACACTAACATAGACAATATTTTCATGTAAAAGCTGTTGAAATAACTATTTCTTGAATTAAAGATGTTTGGCACGTAATAATTCGGGAAGAGAGATAGAAAGAGGAGTTCCATGGGTATAAAAGACTCAGCAAGAAAAGATTCATTGATTTGATTCACCAGAATGACAGCAACAAAAAAGACTAACCATTGTAAAGTTTCTCAAGAACTTCGGTGATGATTGCATGATCCAATGTCCTGATAAAACACATGAACACTAAATATCATGTCCCTGGCACTTCATAGTATCAAATCTTAGAAACAAGTTGACCTTAATCCAACAAGTATTTCCCCAATATGCTTCGTGGAGAGATAGACCTAACAAATCATTGTTGCCTGTTAATTAATTAACATTCTAGCATGCTACACAGAAAGAGAAGAAAACAAAACAAGAAATATTGCTACCTACTACATCAACAGGAATGTGAACTCCACCCCAGGTCAACTTTTGCCTGTTCTCCTTATTACTTGCACATGTAGATGGGCTGCCTGTGGGTAAAAACCAAACAGAACAAAATCCAATTACATCAATGCAAAGCAGGAATAAATCCATTAACTAAGAAAAAATATGACCAGACATTAAGGGGAAAATGATAGCACTAAGAAGCCAATTCCACAGGGATTTAAAAAGGTACTCATCCTAAAAGAAAAGCCTGCATGAATGGATTAGACAGGTATATGTTGATATAAAACAACAAGTCTAATGAAGAAGAGTCCAGATAGTGCATCATTCCATCTTCCAGAGATTTCTGTTCCATAATGTCATTTTGGGACCTTTTCAATCTTTGTGATTCAAGATGATTTGTGCATAATGACTCCAGAGAGAAATATTTTAGGTGGTGTACCTGCTTCATAATTCATAACATGGTTTGATTGAAGTAAAGCAAATCAACAAGCCATTCTGATAAGCTGAAATGGTTACTGTTCCTGTATGAGCAATTGGGACTAGTTCAGCCATCCTCAAACCAAGAATCCACAAAATACCAATCGTAAACTGATACAGACTTGGCACTTCAAATTATGCGACATTGTGAAGAACCATTGTGCTTCAAACTGCTGGACTGTTGGATCAGATTGGCTCATTAGTCGATCAGCAGCACCTTGTCACTTGGACTAGTTACCCATGTTTTCTCTATGGAAAGATTCTTCTAGCTACCCAGTTCATCAAACCGACAGGAAGAATGGTTAAAACAAATAAATTTTAGCACACTGCTGAAACTAGCCAAGTGCAGGAGAGTTCCAACAGTTCTGCTTGCCACATCCATCTTTCCATTGGGCCATGCTAGAGGTATATGTTTAAGAGAATTTATAAGATATATGATCCATCCATAACACCTCAGATCGATTGAAGGAAAGATGTGAAAACAAGGTATTGAAGAATTCACACACCTTTATCTTCTCAGACATGGATTGGATTGCATGAGCAATTGCGCGATATCTGCGACGCCCCATATAACGAAGATATTGGAAGCATTTCCCATGAGCCAGCTGCTTCTCCCGCTCCACCTCGGGCAGAAGCCCCTGCACGACGGATGGGAGAGCGGAGGAATGGTTGGAGGGAGAGAAGGCGAGACCATGGAGTCTTTAACTCGGCGGTGGTTGCCGCCATCGATTGGGGGAGAGAACGGAGGGAGAGGGATGATCGGAGCGGACGGTAACGATTAAACCATGTGTGCTTTTTTTTTCTCACCCCCAATTTTAAATTATTTATTAAATAATAATAATAATAATGTTAAATATGTGTGTGTAAAGACTCGTATGGGTATTGGATAGGGTATATCATAATGGAAGGAGAATTCCAAACGCAAGCATTATTCATTTTCGACACGTCATCTCATCTTCCCTCGTCCCTTTTCTTTATTTTTCTTTCTTTATTTCCTCCGATGTGATTGATCTAAGCCGACAAGCGACGGTATCGTTCGTCTGGGATAAGGATTAGGGTTAGGGTTTGGTTGGTTGCATCAGAGGGAGGAGGTCGATCATGACGGGCAAGGCGAAGCCGAAGAAACACACGGCGAAGGAGATCGCGTCGAAGGTCGACGCGGCGACGACGAATCGGGGCGGCGGTAAGGCGGGACTGGCGGACCGGTCGGGCCACGACAAGGGCGGCCACGCCAAGCTGGAGTGTCCCCTCTGCAAAACCACCGCCCCCGACATCAAGTCCATGCAGATCCACCACGACGCCCGCCACCCCAAGGTCCCATTCGACGAGTCCAAGCTCATCAACCTTCACGTCAGCTGCGCCCCCGAGACCTCCAAGGGCCGCCCCGGCGTCCGCGGCAGCTTCAAGAAGTAGCTTCCTCTGGTGATTGATGTCATCGGTAATACCACTAGAGATTGCTCCTCAGTTTGCCCTTTCCCTGCTTCTAGCAATATTAGTATCTTCATCTTCGTCATTGCTGCTGTCTTGAACGATGTGTTTCTTGCCCGCCTTTCCACCCATGGCCAGATCCTTGTCGCCCCCGAGCTGTTTGTTCTTTTGTGTTTGTGCGCTTGAGCGATTGGTCTTTAGTGTGGCAGGCAGGTATAATGTTCGTGCGGTGGAGAGAACATAGGGACATGTGATCAAGTTGTCATGAACAGCTGGATGTTCGACTTTATAATTGCCTATGGTAGTTCTACTACTATTGGTTTGTTCGATCCAATTAATCGCCTCCCTTTCTAGTTTCCTACATCTTTCTCCGGATAATTCCAATCCCTGTTGCTTATTGTAGTTGTTATGTTTGTTTGGAAATTTTTGTTGATATCTGAAATTATTGCAGTTGTTGTCTTCTCATATTTATAGATTGCATCTGTGTGATTATGTCTCTTAAGATAGTTGTATCCAACTAATTCAAATAGAAATTTCTGTTTGCTTGTAGAAGCTCATTGGGAAGTATAAGGAAAATACTACCAGCTTCAAGGATCTCTCAGAAACAGTCTCAGTTTTGTGGAAATTATTTCTCTTTGAAAGAGGTGAACATTGTGGCCTTGGCATTGGGAACAAAAGTTGGTGTTTGAAGTGCCATGATAGTTTTGTAGATTTAGTGCCACTAATATTCTTGTGGGTTAGCTTACAACCCAAATAGAAAAAGGAAAGACCATGATTGTATGGAGATTTAGGCTTTAGACTCTGGTTTCTGGCTTCTAAAAGAGTTATACATGGTTAAGAGTTTAGCTGTTAAGATGCATCATATCTTTGGACATTGATCTTGCGTACTTTTACTTTCTAGAAATTGAGGAGGCATTAGGATTTTGACAGAGGAATTTTGAGCTTAACATGATATTACACTTGTCAAAGACATCATGTGCTAAACTTTCAATAGAGGATGCCAAAATACTGTGATACTGTTGCATCCTCTTTTTGATAAATTTAGAGTTCTGCTGATGTAGAATAATTTTTGTGTATGTTGCTTCTATGTACTCAAGCCTATGCAAAATTGGTACTAGCTTTCATTCACATGTGCTTGTTTTAGTAGCTATATTGCCGGTCACTAGTAAGTGAGAATTGTCAGTGTGTTGGTAAGAAGAAAATGGAGGAAGGCAACAAGAAGATGATTAATTGATCATATGACAATTGGTGAAATATTTACAGGTAACAGGAATGAATCTTGGCCAATTTCTTCTTGTTACTGTTATCAAAAGCTGGGTGTGAGGGACTTCTGTTAATCTTTTAAGGATTAAGATGTGTGAGCTTCTGCGTATTGCTTAAATAGATAACTTCTTAATTAAGTCCTCTTTCTAGAGCTTTTCTTGCTGTTCCACCCTATGAACTTGTAGTTGCTTGCTTACTTCCTATATGATAATCTCACATTTCAGCAATGGTGGCTGTTTCTTTGAGAATTTGTATCTCGAGTTGAACCAATGATGATGATAGTAGAACTGTGGTTACTACAAAAGCATTTGACCTTATCATCTTCAATAAACAAATTCATCATGAAAGAGAAGCTATTTTGAGAATTTTGTGGGTTTAAAGTGAACAGACTAAAACATATTTCTAAGAATGTTTCATTTGAGTAGCAGTTTAGAAGATTAGCTGCATCTTGGCACCAAAATGTTTCATTTGAAAGTTTCACAATCCTTGTTGATAAAAGAGTTCCATACAAAATACATCACTCTTATATGTGAGGCAGCTGATCAAATTAATTACTTACATATGTATGCTCATTTAAAACTGTCATCGCAATTATATGTTTAAGTGTGTCCTTGTGTATAAGACATTTGGCAATCATGCTACTCATCTAAACTTCTCGATTTACTTCTTTGTGAAGGCCACCACATTTTCCTTGGATTTTTATGACTACTTGTGATATGATTGCTTATCTTATTTAGTTTTAAATCTAAGGCTAGCCAAGCATCTATTTTTATTCATCTCCTTACAAGCATCACGTCTTTCTGTTATCTCTGCATGGGGTTAGGTTAGATTTCATATAGCAAGAACAAGATGTCTATATAGTGAGTGACCGACTAAAGCATCTTGTTTTGCATGAATACAGAGATCATTGTTTAAAATTTGAAGTTCTACAGAAAGAACTTCAAGTGATTGTCGATGAGCATGTAAAGATGCTCTTGGAGTCCAAGAATAATAGGAAAGAGTCAAACTGGGTAGTGGTTTTTTAATCTTGGATAATGGAAATTATGATCAGACAAGTAACAAAAGTTTGCTTCTTTACTATGTAAATTCACAATGATGAGATATAACTATTGATGCTGAGTTTTCTTACTGTGGTTATTATTGTTGTGAAACTGTACTGGAGAACCGTTTTGCTTACTTGAGTCTTACATGCCAAATCAAGTGTGGTTTGGTGCCATGTTGTATAGCGTCATGACTATCAAGTTCATGGCGTTGTAAATCAAGTGTTACACTTGCCTTGTAAATCCCTTATTTGAATGCATTGAAAGGCAGTTCTCAAATGTTACAATAAACTTCCACTCATGAGGCTTTTGGTTTATGTTTTTGGAGATTGTTTACACACGATTAGTTTAGGTGGTTTAGAAACCTTTGTTAGTATCTAAAATTGTTGCAGTTGTTGTCTCCTGATGAGTGTGATTATGCCTTTATATTAAGATGAAATTTTTAGGAGATAGATGTTAAAATCAACATATTGATAGATAATTATTTGACCTCAATTGGTGTTAGAACAAAACATTGATTAGATTTAATTAAGCTTTAAGATACGCTTTTAATAATGTGATAATTGATGTGCTCGATCAGCAATAATATCCCATAAAAACCCAGTAAATAGTATGATTTCATGAAGCATGTTCCATCTGCTTTTAATAATGTGATAATTTCCTCGTAATTAACATATATTCCCAAAAAAACCACAACATTGATTTGCATGGTGGAAAAATAAAACAAGTGAGAAAACCTTTCATACAAAAAAGAATGACTTATTTCTGCACAAATCTTCATAACCAATGATCTGAATCAAGATTGCACACCATGGCACCAAGGTTTATCCACCGGAAGCATCATGTCTCTTGACAGGTGTTGCATCTTCTTCAAGAAGAGATGCAGATTCATGATCTCCATAACTGATCCCTGGGTGATTCTGTTTCCGTTTCTATATCTATATATATATATATATATATATATATATATATAGTCAATGTCAATAGAAATGATTAATTATGTAAAACAAAGTTGAAATGAAGATATTGAAGAAAAAATTAGCAAGCAATTACGAGTGGAACCTTCCAAGATAAATGGTACTCCCAAGAAAAGACATTGCTGGTTGAAGTAGATTGTATTGGACCATGTCATTATCCCGTAACCCATTCCCTGGAAAAAGTCAAGTAAATTGTTCTATTAATAAGTTATGCAGACAGCATAATTTGAATGCTTCAAATGTCCCTAATGCCAACCACCATGTCCAAAATTGCTGCGAAACCATGAAAATTGTGTTTTCTTCATAGTACCAAATAAAAGAAAACAAGATCAACCAACATATCATCACCTATGAAATATAGACAGCTAAATGAATGATGCACAACCATTTCCAAGATTTTTCATTGCATTCTTGAATCATACATTCTGCAATATCCTTAATTTCTCTTGATAAGAAAATTTGATATGTTACTGTTCATCATGTGTTCTAAGCTATTATGGTTTCTCTCTCTCTCTCTCTCTCTCTCTCTCTCTCTCTCTATATATATATATATATATATATATATATATATATATATATATATATATATATATATATATTTATATAAGGAGACAGAATTGACCGGATCAGTTATGGAGATCATGAATCTGCACCTCTTCAAGAAGATGCAACACCTGTGAAGAGACCTGATGCTTCCACTAGGTTGTCTTCTACGACTCTTTAGTCCTCATGGATCATAGTAAGTTATAGATCATCAATGGATAAACCTTGGCGCCATGGTTCGCAATCTTGATTCAGATCATTGGTTATGAAGATAAATCCTCCTGAAATCCCACAAAGGTAGCAGTCATGTCATGTGCCGCAATAAGCCATTCTTTTTTGCATGGAGGGTTTTCTCACTAGAGGAAAACAAATGCTTGTTGTTTTCTTTTTCCACCATGCAAATCGATGTTGTGATTTTTTTTGGGATATATGTTAATTAGGAGGAAATCGCCACATTGTTAAAAGCAGATGCAACATGCTTCATGAAATCACACTATTTACAGGATTTTTATGAGATATTATTGCTGATAGAGCACATTAATTTCTTACCACCCATTGTTGACAAAGTAAGCGTATCGTAAAGCTTTATTAAATCTAACCAACCTTTTGTTCTAACACCAATTGAGGTCAAATAATTTTCTATCAATATATTGATTTTACCATCTATCTCCTAAAAAATTCATCTTAATATAAAGGCATAATCACACACATGAAATCTACACATATCAAGAGACAACAACTGCAATAATTTCAGATATTAACAAAGGTTTCCAAACCACCTAAACTCATCGTGTAAACAATCTCCAAAAACATCAACCAAAAGCCTTACTGGTGGAAGTTTATTGTAACATTTGAGAACTGTCTTTCAATGCATTCAAATAAGGGAGTTTCAATGCAAGTGTAACACTCAGTACTATGCCAAACCCTACCGACCTTAGCAAATGTGAATTTGGTAGTCATGACGCTATACAACATGGCACCAAACCACACTTGATTTGGCATGTAAGACTCAAGTAAGCAAAAGGGTTCTCCAGTACAATTTCACAACAACAATAACCACAGTAAGAGAACTCAGCATCAATAGTTATATCTCATCATTGTAAATTTACATAGTAAAGAAGCAACCTTTTGTTACTAGTCGATCATAATTTCCGTTATCCAAGACTAAAAACCCACTACCCAGTTTGACTCTTTCTTATTATTCTTTGACTCCAGGAGTATCTTTACATGCCCATCGACAATCACTTTAAGTTCTTTCTGTAGAACTTCAAATTTTAAACAATGATCTCTGTATTCATGCAAAACAAGATGCCTTAGTTGGTCACTCACTATATAGACATCTTGTTCTTGCTATATGAAATCTAACCTAACCCCATGCAGAGATAACAGAAAGATGTGATGCTTGTAAGGAGATGAATAAAAATAGATGCTTGGCTAGCCTTAGATTTAAAACTAAATAAGATAAGCAATCCTATCACAAGTAGTCATAAAAATCCAAGGAAAATGTGGTGGCCTTCACAAAGAAGTAAATCGAGAAGTTTAGATGAGTAGCATGATTGCCAAATGTCTCTTATACACAAGGACACACTTAAACAAATAATTGCGATAGCAGTTTTAAATGAGCATACATATGTAAGTAATTAATTTGATCAGCAGCCTCACATATAAGAGTGATGGATTTTGTATGGAACTCTTTTTTCAACAAGGATTGTGAAACTTTCAAATGAAACATTTTGGTGCCAAGATGCAGCTAATCTTCTAAACTGCTACTCAAATGAAACATTCTTAGAAATATGTTTTAGTCTGTTCACTTTAAACCCACAAAATTCTCAAAGTAGCTTCTCTTTCATGATGAATTTGTTTATTGAAGATGATAAGGTCAAATGCTTTTGTAGTAACCACAGTTCTACTACCATCATCATTGGTTGGACTCGAGATGCAAATTCTCAAAGAAACAGCCACCATTGCTGAAATGTGAGAGTATCATATAGGAAGTAAGCAAGCAACTACAAGTTCATAGGGTGAACAGCAAGAAAAGCTCTAGAAAGAGGACTTAATTAAGAAGTTATCTATTTAAGCAATACGCAGAAGCTCACACATCTTAATCCTTAAAAGATTAATAGAAGTCCCTCACACCCAGCTTTTGATAACAGTAACAAGAAGAAATTGGCCAAGATTCATTCCTGTTACCTGTAAATATTTCACCAATTGTCATGATCAATTAATCATCTTCTTGTTGCCTTCCTCCATTTTCTTCTTACTAAAATTCTCACTTACTAGTGACCAGCAATATAGCTACTAAAACAAACACATGTGCATGAAAGCTAGTACCAATTTTGCATAGGCTCGAGTCCTTATATCAGCAAGATTCTGAATGTTATGGTTGCACAACACAATCCAAAACCTCAAAAGGAACATAAGTACATAGAAGCAACATACACAAAAATTATTCTACATCAGCAGAACTCTAAATTTATCAAAAGAGGATGCATCAGTATCACAGTATTGTGGCATCCTCTATTGAAAGTTTAGCACATGAAGTCTTTGACAAGTGTAATATCATGTTATGCTCAAAATTCCTCTGTCAAAATCCTAATGGCTCCTCGATTTCTAGAAAGTAAAAGTATGCAAGATCAATGTCTAAAGATATGATGCATCTTAACAGCTAAACTCTTAACCATGTATAACTCTTTTAGAAGCCAGAAACCAGAGTCTAAAGCCTATATCTCCATACAATCATGGTCTTTCCTTTTTCTTTTTGGGCTGTAAGCTAACCCACAAGAATATTAGTGGCACTAAATCTACAAAACTATCATGGCACTTCAAACACCAACTTTTGTTCCCAATGCCAAGGCCACAATGTTCACCTCTTTCAAAGAGAAATAATTTCCACAAAACTGAGACTGTTTCTGAAAGATCCTTGAAGCTGGTAGTTATACTTCCCAATGAGCTTCTACAACAGATAAATTGCTGTCAGTTGGACGAAGATTGACCCTTTGGTTAATAACATCATATATCATCTTTCTTTTTCCCCTGTTTCTGAATTGACGATGAAGAAAATTGGAAAAGTTGACAAGGAAATCCCAATCGCAAGTGGCAGACGAAGAACAAGGTGGATATTCTTTTGTCTAATGGATGAGTGCGAGAGATTGATCTCAAGGACATGAAAAAGAATTTATTGACAACACATTACAGAAATTGTAACTGAACAAAACTTGTCTATATTTATTTGGCTCTTCGGTTCTAGTTTAAAAATATGGGACAGAGATATATAATTAGTATCTCAAAAAGAAAGGGAAAACTTTAAAGGATCTTACTAAAAATTATAAATAAAGATTTTTTTATAGAATTCTACAATGGCAAAAGATCTATATACCAGACCCAAAATAATTGCGATAGTACAGCTTTGTTTTTGTTCTCATTATTTCAAAAAGGAAAGGGAAAAAAAACAAAAGATCAACTAAAATTTTTCTAATTGATGTCCGTAAACTTTTTAAGTGTCCTCAGCATAAAACTAAATTAATTCCTGTTAGGTTATATGAAACCTTTAAAGGTAAAATATAACCAATTGGGTGGTGCATCGAAGTAATTAATAAGTCAGTTTTAGACGTTTATAGAAAGAGCAATCTCAGAAAGTTAAAAGCAAACTTGATTGACTGAGCATATAAAACTTTGATAATTGAAAAAAATAAGACACGAGGCTTACTGCATATAAGACAGCAATTATTTCTGATGGTGTCAACATCCACTCTCTATGACAACCAGTGGTAAATATTCCAGTCAATACCATCCCCAAAAAAATGCAAGTATGTTGTCAAAGACAAGCAGGAAGGATACTTGATCAGCATTGGAACCTGAAAGAGTTGACATCATAAGCAAATGAAAATATCACTGTATAACAAACAAAAGAAATGAAAGAAAAATAATCATTGCAATTACTATGTAAGACTACCAATCAAACAATAAGCTAAACTCTAGTGGCAGCTTTATGTCTCTTACATGTTACAAAAACATATATTGTTAAATAAGATTGCATAAGAGAACTATTCATAATGTGGAAGATGCGGGCAGTTAGAGATAAACTTGACAACTTAATTTTTCTTTGTGTTGTTATCAATTCTTTCACTTCTCATCTTCCACAAATGATAAATGCCGAAACATAATGTCTGGATTCCAGAAATGTGGTTTGCAATGGTGTTCCAAGCTAAAGTACCTGTCAAACAAAATAAGCAGTCAAGCAGAAACAGTTCCCTATCAAGCACAAAACACCAATATGCCACTTCTCAAGACCAAAACGAAGGAGACCAGATGTTAGCCATCCAACGGATTCAGCCTGAAGCTTCATGCCTACTGCACTTTCATCAGAAAGATTGTAAATAGTGGATCCAATTATTGCTCGACCCCAGTAAAGTATCATTAGTATTGTACCAGAAACACAAACAAGCGTGCCTACAACCTTCATGTACACCCAAGTTTACCATCTCAACACTGTAACCATTAAACATCTAAATGAATATGGAAAATTTATCATCTAGTAGACACCTAGCAAAATCCAAATCAAATCAGATGTCAATCACCCCAGGACTGCTGCCAAGATAAATGTAAAAATTGTTATCGCAGGCTGAATAGCCGATGTATAGGTTGGGTTTGTGTAGCTAAGGCCGAGAAGAAACGAGCTGGTTCGCAAATATCCTGATCAAAGGATATCCAAACATGATGTTATTTTCTTTTGTGGGCAGAGAATAGCAATTACGTTTTATTTCTACAATATGTTAAGAAAAATCAAACTAAAGTTGATTAGCGAAAAATTGAGCTTACCCAGTTAAACCAAGAAGGAAAAATGATGCCAAGAGGCATGGAGTTAGTTGAAGGTGGACACTTCTGCCAAGGACAGTACTGAATTTACCAACCCTGATTCTTATCATTCTATCAAACAAGAAAAAACTCATAGGAAAACAATTCAATCTAAAGACTCACTAATTTTTTATTAAGGGTAAAAGATAATAGGAACCCATAAGAACTATATTAAATTATTAAGTCCTTTATGAACACATTGCTTCCACATGATGTTTTACCTAATTAGTCTTTGTCCATCAAATCTGATCAAAAAAAGTGAAAAAAGTAGTTAATACTCCTACAAATGTTATAGTATATCATAGAGTGTTAAACCAATAAACTCCCTATATCATTGAAAACATTTGGGTAACCTGTTGTACTAACTAATATATCAACTAAAATCCTTGCTGAACTATTACAAATTGTTGCAAGTATTTATGGCCTTCACATCATTCTTATGCCAAACTTGTGTTGAGGATTAAGATTAAATATCAGTTAGCAGCTTGTGTTGTTTCAAGTATTCCAGAGAGGAGATGGGACCTAATTATAAGTCCTAATTGCTTTTTGTAGGATCATGAATCACTATGAATTTGCATTCTCAAGAATAGGTGTAATAGCTCATTCAATAAGGCAAGTAAAAACAAACTAGCAGCAGAAGACTTCTCACCTTCTACAACCTGATCATAGTGATCGATGACCCAAGATCACACACACCTCCTCCATTGAAGAAAATTCTCATTTTCTCTATTCGGTTTTTTCATTATGGGTTCAATAAAACCCATAATGAATCTTTCCCTTGTGGTTTTCTTGTATCCTAAGATAGGAGCTTCATCTTTCTTGCATTAAGAATCTATTTCTTTACCCAATCGTTGCAAAATGATTGCTTTCTCATGCAATCTACCAAATATCTTAACCATCTACTTTTCTCGCATCTGAATTCTTCTCACTCCAACCTCCAAACTAAATCCCACTTCTGACTTATCTTGACCACAATGCCATTCGTTCATTGATTCCCTTTTCTTCGCTCCTCGATGATCAAACACATGAACACATCTCCTAATTTCTTATCGTATACGAATCAACATCATCATTCGTGCAAGTCAGAAAGAGACGGCTCATATAAGAGAAGATAGGGATTCTTTCTCCTTCTCTTTAAAGAAAGGAAAGAGGAAAGGAAACCTGCATCGTTGGAGGAGGGCGAGGATGGAGATGGCGACGAAGTCGCGATAGACGCAGAAGGCCACCTCGTTCATGCCGACATTGAGCACGGACTTGGTCAGCACGTGGAAGCCGCCGTTGGTCGCCTGCACCAGCGCCATCCCGAGGTGCGCCCGCAACGCCTCATTCCCCCTCATCACGATCACTCCTGCCGCCCACACACTCGTGCAAGTTCTCCTCCTCCCCAAAAGATCAAGATGTGGGGTGAAGGATGGAGGCAGAAGTGTCGGGCTATGTCGCCGTACTCGTGTTGCCACGAAGGGTGTGAAACGCGGAGGAGCCGACCGGCAACATGTCGGATTGATGTCGCCAACAATAAGGCCATCAGAACCGTCCAGCCTCAATGAATCATATCTCAGCCGTTGATATAGTTGACGGGCTAATTGACTAAGTATTACAAGATTATCTTCACAAAATACCGAAAAAACCTTAATTATGATTAAGGCCCCCAAACAATGATCAGACGGCCAGGAGAACTCCATGTCATACACCCTATTCTCACGTGCGACATCATTTGTTGGATCATCCATCAAGTGATCTGGACCGTCCAAGTTAGGGTTTTGTTTCCTTTCCTTCTCTTTCTTGCAGCTCCGCCACCGTGAGCATTTAAAACCCCTTCGAGCGAGCGTCTCCAACCCCTTCGCGGACCCAAACTGCGGCGGAGCCGAAGGTGAGGCGGCATCGCATCCCAGTGAGGGTCTCTTCGTCTTCGCTCGATCCATGTTCCATCTGTTCTCCTACTCTTGGTTGATGATTTTGGATATCGTAGCGGGGAATAACTTGACAGCGTGCTATCATAGTTCTTCAGTTATATCTTGGGGAGAATGTTTATGGATTAATTTGAAGTCTTTTGATGATTTATTCGATGATTTTTATGCCGTTCTTCGATGTCCCTGGTAAAAACGATTCAGGGATATGTGTTGATGGCGTGTCAGATCTTATCGATGTGAGAGCGTTAGATCGGTAGGTATGAAGCTAGCAAGACAACAAAGTTCCGATATATCAGGATTATGAGTTGGAAATATAATATGAACACTTTTTGCTGGAAATGCATTATGATGATTATTAGTTAGAAGTATATTGAATTAGTCATTAGTTTTTTTGCTAGTGGTCCATCCTATCTATCCTTACCATCTGGAAGCTGATTTTTTTGCATTACATTAAGGAACTCAGTTGGATATGGATGCTTAAATATGGTACCTTGGTTGTCCCGTGGAGGAGTTTGGTTTCAGAATATGATTTGTAGAGGTGCAGTGCATCAAAAGCACTACAGGAAGATTGTATCTAACATTTCTGGAGAAAGAAGAAAATGAACTTGAGCCAGAAAGAACACATTCAAGCTGGAGTAGGAGAGATATAGTTTAACATCTTGTTGCTTAACTTTCGTTAATTTTGCTCTTTGTTTACCTATTTCTCTTTTTGAAGGCCCCTCCAATGTGAGGATGTTAAGTTGGAAATAAGAATTTTATGGAGATTGATAGTTGTAGGTTTTCTGCTGAGCTGTGGGCTGTCTGTACTTGTCCTAAAAATATTCATGAAGTTCTTGATGCTATTTTCTCTCCATGGAGCCATATGCTCAACTTAGACTGGCTCTTTATTCATATGCTTCCCTTTTCGAAGGTCATTACAATTGAAGGATGTTACATTAGGAATAGTAGTTTAATGGTGACTGATAGTTGTAGGGTTTCTGTTGAGCTGTGGGTTGTCTTTAGTTGCCTTAAAGTTTATCAGAAGTTCTCACTGTTATCTTCTCTCCATGGAGCCTTTTAAGTTTGCGATTATAGGGGCTTGGATTTCACTTAGTCATTGTGACCTTTTTCACCATAGGATCATGAACCATGATTACATGATAGTTGTTCAAACAGGCATTTTATTCACTAGTATTAAAAATATTTGCTTTTCTTATTTATTCATATGCAAGCTTGTGATGTTGTTTAGTTTATGTTTAGTAGATTTGAAAATTATTTTCTTCTAAACTATGTTGTTATTCAGGTGAGCCATGGTTAAGCATAACAATGTTGTGCCAAATGGACACTTCAAGAAGCACTGGCAGAATTATGTGAAGACATGGTTCAACCAACCAGCTCGCAAAACAAGAAGACGCATTGGTAATTATCTTTTCTTCTCTTTTTCTCACCAGCATATTAGCTGGTCTACTCCTGCGAATATAGATGGCTTTGAGTAATGAGTATGGTCTCTCATTGCTTGCAGCATTGTGTTTTAATCTTCTGTCCCTTTCTCCTTCTCTTTCTCTGACCTGCTTATTAGTTGGTCCACCATCACTGATGTAAATGACAGACTTGATTATGGGTTCTCAGTGTCTGCCTTGTGTTTCAATCTTTTTCATTTCTTATTCTACTATTTCTAGTAAGATTTGTTGACATTCCATTTTTTTCTTTGTCGTACTGATTGACATATGCTATCATTTGGATTTAACAGCACGTCAAAAGAAAGCTGTGAAGATTTTTCCCCGTCCAACTGCTGGACCTTTGCGTCCTGTTGTTCAATGTCAGACACTCAAGTACAACATGAAATCTAGAGCAGGCAGGGGTTTTACTCTTGAGGAGCTCAAGGTCAGTGTTTTTCTTAATCTTGCACATTCTCTTTTAACATGTTAAACATATTTCTAAGTATCTTACTAGTTATGAGTTCTTGTTAATCAATCCTCCTACATGCATTATAGTTCTCATCTGGTCAAGTTCTGCCAAAGCACCTGTTGTACATGTTGCACGCAATTGTTTTGGAATGTAATAGAAGTTATAGGTTCAAGTGCTGAGGGGGGATGAGAAACTAGTGCATATTTGAGAAAATGTTACCTTGAAATGACAAAAGATGCAATTTACAGATTGGATTATATATCTGTTATTATGTTTTCATGTCCGGAATAATATTTGCATTCATTATTTTATTCTAAAACCTCTCACGATATATATGGCTTTGAGGTCATCTTTGGCATAGATATATTTATCCAATAGCTATTTACTTTCTGCATTTGAGTTAAAATTTGCTCCCAAAACAAGATTGGTAATTCCTTGCAGACAAATACGTGGTTTAAGCATTTTTGTGTAAATCCTCTTGCCTTAAGTTGTCTGTTGGGTAATGTAATAGCTTTGAATTAAAGTTAGGATTAATTGGAAGACCTTGTTTTGTAAGTTCTATTACATGGCCCTTTTTTGTTTCCGATCCAATTTTGGCTATAATTTGTTCTTAAGAGTGTTTATCGAACCTGGCAAGCTTACTTCTACTTGCTGGATATTTTTTTGGAAGGTATTTAAAATTATTATCTTGGCTTTTCTTTCCTTTGAAAAGTAGTTATGAGAATTACCTTTTACTTACCAAAAAAAAAAGTTATGAGAATTACTATTTGCCAATTGCTAACTGAAGTTAGAATTTAACTTGGAGAATGAAGCTTCTTTACCATGAAGCATGAATATGGACTGTGATAAGCGTCATCCGATCTTATGTATAAGTATGGACAGAACGTGGCATGGACATGACAATGAATACATATATATTCTCATATGTCATAGTTATATTCTTGCATGATGTAGACAATATGAGCATCATATATGAGGCTTATGAGAAGCATAACAACCATTCATATAAGTAGCAAAAGCTCACAAGTGTAGATGTTGCAAGGATCTCGCCAATGTTCTTCACTAAGTATGCATTGAGGAATGTTCAACAAGTGTTGGTGTCCAACAAGACTTCGATCTCGAATTTGGACTAGTTGATTGATGCCATGAAATTATTCTGAAAAGTTGAACTTGGTTCTATACTTGGCCTGGTATTATCTTGTATGAGTCCTGCCATTAAGTATGTGTGTCAAGCCATGGTATGCATGATCTAGGTGTGGCAAAGGCATTATAAGACTGATTTCCATATGCCAAGGGATAGGTTTCTGATCCACATCATATCTGAAGAAAGTAAAATGTCCACCAAAATTCATTAAAGGTAAAGTTTCTACCACCTGTATTTCACAAGCGAATAATGATTGCTTCTGCCGCAAATGCAGGCTGCAGGCATTCCAAAGAAACTTGCTCCAACAATTGGCATTGCAGTGGACCATAGGCGAAAGAATCGCTCTCTTGAGGGACTCCAGGCTAACGTGCAAAGGCTGAAGACATACAAAGCTAAGCTTGTCATCTTCCCAAGGCGTGCTCGCAAGATCAAGGCAAGCTAGTTATATTTTAGGAGCTGCCAGTAGTTGATCAGTCATTGATTTGTTACATTGCTCATGCTTTTGTGTACAATTGGTTTCTCAGGCTGGAGATTCTGCTCCAGAAGAACTTGCAACTGCTACCCAGGTCCAAGGCCAATACATGCCCATTGTGCGTGAGAAGCCGACGGTCGAACTTGTGAAGGTTACAGATGAGATGAAGTCATTCAAAGCTTATGCCAAGCTCCGTGTTGAGCGGATGAACGAGCGTCAGGTCGGCGTCAGGCTGAAGAAGGCTGCAGAGGCAGAAAAGGAAGAAAAGAAGTAACCAACCAATCTGGGTGAGGGTCGCAGTTTCCTTGTTGAGACACCTCCGTGAGCTCTTTTCCTGTTTAGTCAACTACAGTACAATTTATCCTTTTCATTCTGTCAGTACAATTCTTAATGCTTGGAGCCATTTGCTTTGACCTTTTTGGTTACTGTTATGATATTGATTCAAAATATCAGCACTGATAGAAGGCAATATCTTTTGTGGTGGAAATGGAATGAACATTTCTAGAAGTGAAAAGATTTAAGGTTTTAGTAGGATATCGTAGTTAAACATGACTGCTAAACATACATACCAAAGTCCAATATTTCTGGAATTGATATGAGAGAGTTGGAATTAAGTAGGCACATTTATTTAAAAAGAAAACCATAAAACAGTATGGAATAAAGCATGAAATAAGAATATTTCATTCATCTTTTGATAGATTGCTATAAGAAATAATGCACAACTATCAAGTTAATGCACAACTATAAGAAATAATGCTACAAAGATTTAGATCTTCCCTGTTGCTGTGTGAGTGAGTATCTTCGTAATGTAATCCACAATATGTTCCACCAATACACACTGAAGAAACAGTGGAGCAGAGGCATCTGAGACAACCAACCAATTCAAAAAGGTCCAACATCTGCTCTCAGATATGCTATTGTAGGGGATTCATAACACAGAATAAATCCAACCGGGTTTTATTATTACAAGGGCTTCTATTCATTATGCCAACACAACGCTCAAACATAAGCAGATCCGGAGACAAGCCTCCCTGTGCTATCATAGCAATGAAGGAAAGGATTAGAAGTGGAAGTCCCAGGAATTGAATAGAACAGCAATCATCAGTCCACGGATTGCTGCTGAGACTCACCAAGGAGACGACATCATTACCATTAGATACAGGCTTAAGATATTTAAACCTAAGTTAATGATTGATAAATACATCTATCAGATCTTTATTGGTCAATATAAGCCTTAGTTCACATTAGATACAGGCCTAAATCGTCAATATAATGTGGTTTGCATTTTTGTTTATTCTTGCAAAATATAAAAGAAAATTATTTATATGAAATTAATGTGGTGATTTTGTTCTAATAAGTGATGATGGGAATGAAGCAAGTAGGGTAATTATTTTTCAAAAATAATAATCCCCATCAAAGCTAATCAAACTTGATATATTGAAATGAATTACGCTAATGCAACTAAGTAAGAAGGTGCCAGCTAGCTTGATAAAAACTTTAATATATTTTATCGCAAGGTCCCTATGTTTCCAAATTAAAATCAAAATTGCTAGATAATATCTATCGAGTTCAATTGATATGAGTTTTATTTAAAATAATAATATGAGTTATTCATTTCTGATCAAGAAAGGGAGAAAAAGATGTAATTTTCAGATACTGAAACAGATAAGAGGCAATAAAAGAATTTAACTTCTTGTGGTCTCATCCATTCCTGGCATTCAGGGATGGGAACAGAAATGGCAGGCTGCTTTGCTTTATCATCATCCCCAGTGTTCTTTAGAAATAAGGAATTGTAATTGGCATCGATCAGATGAACGAAGCAAGCCAATGTCCACCATGAGTTTTCTCTTAAAATGCTGTGATATCCACTGGAATTTATGAGAACAGAGGAGAAAAGAAATCCATGGTAGCTACATATGTTACAACTCATCTATTGCCACCCAAATTGATACGAGGGGCTTTACAAGAACGAACAGGTTAGCAGAAACAAAAGGGAAGAAGCTGTGAAATTGGAGGTGGCTGTTGTCACACAAATGTTTCTCCTACTATGCCCATCTAGGAATGTAACTATTGTTCTACTAAAGAAAGGTTAATCACCTAGGAGGGGGATCTGATGCTTGACTATTGTTCAAAGGAGGATTGGAGGAGACGGGTGGGAAAGCTCCATTTTCCTGCGGAAGGGCTACCCCCCATTTTGAGTCTGCCTCGGATGGTTCCACTACGTGCACCGCACCATCGCTCATACCCAAGGCTATCTGATTGGGTTCAGATGGGTGAGCTGCGATCACCATGGGATAAGCTGCTCCAGGACTGCAAAAAGAAAGAAAGAAAGAACAAATCACGTCAGAGGACAACATATTTCTGATCCCCTAATATAATACTGATTTCATAAATGCCTTATACATTTGCATAACTTAGGTAGTACATGCTAATATAAGGTTCACGGCGCATAAAACATAGAGGAGGAAAAACAACAGAGTGAATACATGTTTCTGATCACCTAGGAAACATCAAAGATAAGTCACCAGTAATTTCTTAAATGAATAGATGATTTTATAAATACCTTACTGTATAACTTAGGTAGTACTTGCTAATAATGTTCTACCGGCAAAAAAACAACAGAAACGACATTCGCATACACAAAACAAAGCCTTGCAGATTCCCAACTTTTTTGAGATAGCACATGAAATCCACTGAAAGCAACTAGCATTACCTAGAAATGGATGGGCTTATGTAGGCAGTCCGTGCAATCCGGCAACGAAGCCTCAGGCTATCTGATTCAAAAACTCCAATGGCACCATCACAAAATCCAGCGTATACCAGTAGACCATCACATGAATACACTGCACTTGAAATTGGTGCTGGTAGTGCATCTCTAGGTAACCACTGCACAAGAGAAAAAAAATTTGTAAGTGCGTTGGCAGAAGGTATATTGTAAGTTAATAGTGGAAGCATAAAAACTATGGTCATGCTACTGTCATGTCAAAAAACTTTAATATCATAATCTAAAGTCAAATAACAATAGATTAAACTTAAGATGCATACCTCTCGATGTCATTTAGAATACATTTCTTCTTATATGTAAACACACTGTTATTCGATTCGAAGGAAGTGATTTGTAAGGAGAACTAAACTCGTCTTCTCTTCTTTTCCTATCCTTCATAGGATCACTATAAACAATGAAATAGGGACTAAGGGGTGATAAAAGGCCATGTCTATTTATAATTAAGAGTAGATAGCCTAAGATAAGTAATTATGAGTCTTTCCCATTAGAGTATCCCTAATAAGGAATCCTATTATAATTGAATTTTTATTGTATTGGTTGATAACCATAATCAGAATCCAATAATATACTTTATCCAATTAAACAGGGTCACGTAGTCTAACATTCTCCCACTTAGCCCATTAATTGATATGATATAAAAGAATTTAAAATCATAATAAATAAGAAAACTTTTTTTAAAAATAGTTTTCACTAATTAAATTTAAAAAAATATTTTACATGTGACCACGAATTTTATAAAGCAGGCCAATAAATCCAATAAATACAATAATACTACATTAAATCTGACTATCAATACGAGTCATACGATTGTATATTATTAATATCATACTTCTTTCTATGTATTACAATATTGTTAGTCTTTTCTAATACAATCCATAACGACCCCCGTAATTTATCTTGTCAAGACAATCCTATTATTACATTTAATCATAATATGTACATACATAAATGTGAACAAGATAACAAAAACAAATCATTTTAATTACGTAAGAGAAAATATCAATTATGATGGCCACTCAAATATGCATCATCATATCTTTTATGAGTTGTCCACAAACACAATCATAAGAACATGTTCTTTAAATACCTTAGGTTGTAAGGCCTTAGTAAATAGATCAGCAATAAATACACTAGTTATTTTTGGACTCTTTCTCTAACGATCATATACTTAATATGATAATGCATAGAACTGCTAGAGTACTTGTTATTCTTAGAGAAGAAAATTATTGTGATATGTCATAAAATATCCTTAGTAACTTGGCAATTGAGTCTAACCACACCAAGTCCTGAGATAAATTTTCGCAGTTATAAAGTTTGATTAGTAGCCTCAAAGCATACTATGAAATAAACTTCTATTTTCGATAATACACTTTGTATTATACTATTCTTAAAAATTATCCCTCAAACTAATATAAAGATAAATCGTAAAATGAACTTTCTATTGTTGAAACAATTTGCAGAATCAACACATAAAAATTTCATCATTTCAGGCTGATCTGATCCCTTATATGTGAGCATATAACTCTTTGCTTTTTATAGACATCTTATCAATTTATTTGTAGCCTTCTATTGTTCTATTTATGGGAAATTCTATATTTGCCTAGCATTCTTTATTGTAAAACTAATATCTAGTCTAGTAAAAGCTTAAGTATATTATAAACTTCCAACTACATATCCATAACCAATATTTCTTATTGATTCTTTTCCAAGTCATTCTTTGAACACTAGTTTAGACTAAAATTTTCACATACGGTAATAGGTATATCAAGCTGAATAAAGTTGCATACTAAATCTATCCAAGACCCGATAAATATATCATTTCTGACATAATCTTAGCAATCTTTGAGATATATTCCTAAATATTTTAATGCCAATAATGTAAGCTATCTCATTTATATCATTAAATATTATCTCTTGAGTCATGTTTAATCTTAAAGACCAATTTACAATTAACTCTTTTACAATTATTGGATACGTCGATGATTTTCCAGACATCACTCCAATCCATTAATTTTAACTCTTCTTTCGTTGCATCGTATTACTCTTTAGAATAATCACTTTTTATAACTTGTAAAAACAATAAGAGATCCTTCTGAATCCTATGTTATAATCCAAGGTATGCAATACCGTACCGTACCGGTATTTCGAGGTTGGCTCGGTACGGTACGGTACGGTACCGGCATACCGAGCGGTACACCAGGGCTTACCGAGCTATTTTCCTCTACTGTAGCACTGTAGCACTCTATAGTGTACTAATGTAGCACTGTAGCACAGTCCGTCCGGTAGCGGGCGATCCGCGTACCAGTATATCGTCGGACCGGTACGTACCGCCCGGTACCATTCGAAATTGCATACCATGTTATAATCTAGCTTTTACACACATATAACATAATTATAAAAATTGACAGATCTCCTTTCCCTTTAAGATTTTTTCAAGACTATCGATTGTGGTTATTCATCAAGTTCATTAATAGTGATATCAACATTATGTATGAGTTTATCAATATTATTTTGTTGTTTACCTTCATCAAATCAATTTGTCTTTACCCAATACTAAATTTCAAGATTATTACTCTTATTAATTCACTACTCTATAGGAATCTAGCAAGAAGATCAAAACCCTGATCCTTATCTATAAAATTCACCACCCCTATCGAATATGATAATTTTAACTTTTCTATCTAATTATCTCTCAAATTTATTTATATACACGTAAGGGTGTCAACAGCCTAAAACATTACATGAA